GTCTCACGAGGAAACCTCCCCTTCTTACGACCACGGCCTCAAAGCCCAAGCTGGCTGTCCCCAGGTCGGCCTCACTCAGGCCCTGGACGGCAGCCCCAGACCCCGGACGTGGGCCCGAGGACAGCCCGGGTCCTGGTGTTTCTGCCGTGGGGACGGGATGGGCTCTGGGAGCCGAGTGCACATGTTCTGGAAAGAAAGGCTTTCATATCTTTGAGAATTTTTGTGGGGCCATTTTAACATTGAAGATGGAAGAAAATAAGCAACGTGTTTGGAAAATTATGTTTTATTTTTCCTAGAAAGGTAAAAACGCAGCTTCAGTGCAAAAAAGTATATTTTTGCCGTGTGTGGAGAGGGTGCTGCGACGGATCGAATGTGTCCGAAGTGGTTTGTGAGGTTTCGTGCTGGAGGTTCCTCGCTGGACGACAGTGGCCCAACGGAGACATTAACTGAGAACAATGCACGCTCCACCGTGCAGGGGGGGCCGACAGACCCCAAGTGTCCAAACCGACAAAGTCACTGGTGAAGATGAGAAATGGGTCTTCTATTTTAGGGAAAACTAAAGGGACCTTTGGCCCACCGACAGGGTCATCAGGCTCCCAGGTGGCGTCAGAGGGCAGAGCAAGCCCGCGGCTGAGAAGGACCGGCAAGGACCCCCTTTCGCCATCCGCATCGGTGCGTCCATCCGAGTGCAAGGTCAAGAGCTCGTTATCCCCTCTGTGCAGGGCCAGACGAGCCAAATTAGGGCACGGGGTTCAAGCAGGCACAGCTAATGATGCCAGCGAACCGCATCCCACCCTCTGGGCACGTCCCTTTCAGAGGGACGCTGCAACTCCCTGGTTGGCGATTTCGTCATGGCCTCGGTGGGGGCGTTACCGGGGTGGACCCACAGCATGACACGCATCCGTTCAGTGTTCGTTTTTGAAAAGGGTAACACAGGCAGAATGACATGGTCCCAATTAAGATTAGTTTTAAATGTAAAAATCGTGGAGTTACCAGAATGTACAATGGCAGACGGGTTTTAATTGGGGGAAAAAACACCGTGTAACATCCTACTCACTTGGCGGTTTGTTTTATTGAATTATGCTGTTGTGTTTCTATTGAAAATGATAAAGTGATAGAAATCAACCCAAATCATCCTCAGAAACTGGAAAGAGAGTGAACGGTGAAAGTTAAACATAAAACCTAGAAAGCATTCTCACAACCAATGTTTTTTTTCTAGTCTTCACTCAGAGAATGTAGAAGCCGAGCCCGTGTAAGCCGGGGCAGCGTTCCGCGGGAGAGACGCAGGATGTCAAGGTCAAGTTTCCGAGAGCCCGAGGGAGGCCCCCAGGTTCAGGGTCGGTCCCCGTGGGAATGACGGTGGACACCAGAGACGGGGTGCCCCACCCCCGGCACTGGGGACGGCAGAGTCTCTCCGCCCGAGGATCTGACTGCCAGACAGACGGACGGACGGACCGGTCCCGCCGCAGCTGCAGCCCCGGGGCCGGGCTCCAGGCCCCGCGTCCTGAGGGCGTGTGCAACGCGCTCACCCCTCCTGAGCCGCGGCCTGCTCCCCTGTGGAATGGGCTCGTGACGGCGGGTGCAGCAGAGACGAGGGGCTGACCCCAGAGCCTGGCCCCGGCACCCACGTTGCTCAGCCTCACCGACAGGGAATCCGTCGGAGAAAGACAGCAACCCGAAACCAGCGTGGGTGCCGGGAGGGCCCCAGACACGACGAACCGAAGCCGCCTTCAACGCTGTCTTGTCCCCCACTGCCGTGCGTTTGCCGCCCAGGGAGGGACACCAGGCGGGACGGGCGAAGGGGCCGAGGAGGACAGAGTGGCAGCTGCAGAACGGGCACGGGGGTGTGATGCCCGGCACAGTCGGCGATGTCGTGATGACCGTGTGTGGTGCCAGGCGGGTGCCAGACGCACCAGGGGACGCTGTGTGAAGTGTGTGGCTGCCCTTCCTCCCGCTGCCCTGCCCACCTGAAACTGACACAGGACGATCCTGAAACGCAACTGTGATGGAAAACACGTTGAAGAGCAGGGTGACGGCCCTGGGCACCCACACACCTCCAGCCTCTCCCGTGGGCGTCACCAACAACCTCGGTGTGCCGGCGGCGCTCCTGCACAGAGAGCCGGGCGCTCACTGAGGGTCCCGGCCATGGAGAGGACGCCCCTCCCGAGGTCTCTCCTGCAGGTGGCACCGAGGCCCCGACAGGTGGCAGAGCTCCAGCAGGACCCTGTGCACGACGGTGAAGGCGGTGCCTGAGCCTCGGCCGCAGGGCCAGCGCCGGCTTCACCCTCGGCGTGAACGGCAGTGGCTTCAGCCGAGGGGGCGCTGGGACCCGTCCCTCGGACAAGCCGGCGTCTGCGTCCCCAGGTCCTCGCCCCTCGTCAGGCAACTGGTGCCCCCCGTGCAGCTGCGCTTAAGTTCAAACCACACCCACACACGTGTTCACAGGCATGTGTGTGCACACATGTGCACAGCTGTGTGCCTCGTGCACAGTGCTACACATGCTTTTCCCACTGGGTTCTCCTGCCTCGAAATACATCTTTGAATTTTCATGTAAGGAAATTATTTTAGCTCTTCCCTGACCTCAGCAGTAATATTTAAAACTCTTGACTAATGAGACACTAATCTTCCTCCAGAGCATTTCTCAAATATTTAGAATCTCTTATACCGTGAGGATTGTTTAAAAACAAGGCTCCAACTCTGATACCCGTGAGAAAGTCTACGGAGGACTCAGCACACGGATGTTCGTCCTAAGAACACACTCGTCAGAGACGTGGGCGTAGCTGCCGCCAAGCAGACCAGGTCAGAGCAGACCAGGTACCAGGACCCTGTGAGGCGACCCTCCTGCTCTTGCTCCTTTCCCCCCCCCCCCCCCAGCTGGGACGGAGGGCCCTGCCTCAAATGCTGATTTCACTCGGTCAGCAGGGTGCACAAGTACTTTTCTAAAAAACTCTATTCATTGCTTTTTAGAGAGAGAGAGAGAAACATCGATTCACTGTTCCACATATGTATGTCTGCACCAGTTGCTTCTCGTATGTGCCCTGACCGGGGACCAAACTCCCAACCTTGGCGTATGGGCACGATGCTCTAACCCAGAGGTCCACCCGGCCAGGGCCCCAAGTAACTATAGAAATATCCTGTGAAAGACGGACAGACCAACAGTTGGCTGGAAACTACAGTTATTCCTCCCAGTTCCCCTGTCAACCTCCTTTTTCCCTGTACCACAGCTCACCAGGCACAGGCGGCTGATTGTTATAAATTTTATTAGAATCATAGAAAATAATACATACAGATAACCATAGGATACACGCACAGGAATTTAAAGATACTTTTTATACTTTTCAATATGAAACAGAGTACGAATCTCACAGAGATAAATTGCTGGAAGCGCGTGACACAGAGCGGCCGAGCCAACGGTGACAAGCACAGGCGCGTGACGGGGAGGTGCGCTCTCGTCACCACACGCGGCGTGAAATGCGGGTGCCGCGGGAAGCGTCTCCTCTCGTGCGACTGGAAGCAGCGGTGGTCCGATCCCCCCAGCTATGTACAGTATATACAGACCTCGCAGAGAAAGCTAAGTTTTTCTCCTTTGCATATAACGACTTTGTCTCCAATGGGATCTCTACATGGAAAGCGATGCTCTCTTCTTCCTGATGCACACACTGCTGGCCTCAGGTGCTGATGACTCTGCAGAGAACCAGAGGTTTCTGCAAAATGTGATGTTGCCAAAAAAAAAAAAAAAAAGAGGTAAAAAAAATTGATTTTGCCATGTCTAGCACGACCTGCCCCGTCCATGGATTCCCTACGTATTGCTGTGGGGTCAGGTCGTGGGGACCCTTCGAACACTGTGCACAGCAGGGCGGAGCCACGTGCGCGGCAGCCGGCTGCGCCGCCCGGTTCTGTTACAGATTAAACCGGACACGAAAAGCTGGCCAGACTCGCGCGGGCGGCCGGCCAGATTTCATTAGAAAACCACCCCTGTCACCCAAAAAAGAGAGGGTCCCTTAATGGAATCGGAAATGGGAAATGAAAAATCGTGTGAATTTCGCCCAATGTTTGGGTTGAGATTCGGGCCCTCCCTTATTTTCTCCACAGTGCGCTGTTCCCCAAACCCGAAAGCTTGTTCATAGGTGTGAAGGAAACAATGTGTTTTTTATCATTTTTCCTTATTTCTGAGAAAGGAGGAAGTGGGATCGTTTCGGTATCTCATCATCGAATGGAATAAAAAAAGCTCTGCCCGGAATGGAATGCGAGCTTCCCAAAGGCGCCCGCTGCCCCGGCCTGAGGTGGGTCCCTTCACACGGACGTCCGGGCAGGCAGGCCCGGTGTGAGGGTCAGCCAGGCCCACGCCCGTTTCCTTCGTCACGGTTACGGGGCGCTCCCGGGCAGACGCCGGTGAGCGGGCCACGTGGCCCTCTCCAGTGGACAGAGGGGCAGGGAGAGATCTGGGCGGAACCCCAGCCGGGCTAGAGGACACCGGCACCCACAGCACCCCCGACCTCGAGGGCCGGCGGCTCCAGCCCTTCCATGAGTCACGTGCGCACTCTTCCCAACGGCGGGGGGGGGGGGGTTCAAACGCATCTGTGACCCTCCCAACTCGACCCTGAGTCCTGAGTCGGCCTTCCCAGTGACGCCGCTGCGGCGGGACAACGGCGTGGGGGCCACATGAGCGTTTCTGCGTCGATAAACACGGCGCACGTGCGTGTCCGGCGGGAGCGCGGGAGCCTTTGCCCACGGGCAGTGTCGGGGACGACGGCTTAAGGTCGTCCGTGTCGGAAGTCTGAAGTCCGAAACGTGGGGAGTCCTTTGGTTTATGTCGAGTATTAAGGCATTTCAGAGTCTCCTGAAAGGGTGCACTGCATTGTAAGTCATGTTCGTATCATTCCTACGCAGAAAGTTGAAAATACAGAGTTGGAAAAAAACATGCACAATCACTGCATTTCATGAAAGCACTTTTTTCTCGGCCGATTCACTTCCCGGTGAGCAGTCGGAAGGACCTGCCGTCACCACAGGGCGCCAACGGCGAAGCACAGGGCCAGCGGCAGGCAGCTGGCCGCGGGGCGGGCCTTCGGCGGGGCTGGCGAGGACCCCCTCGCATCCGAGTCTGTCGAGGACAAGAAACGGCTCGTTAGCGCGGGTCCCGCCGGCACCCGTGACCTGGCAGAAACAAGGTTTCCCTCCCACACCCGGGCCCCGGCCAGAGGCCCCCCTCGGCCTGCGCCGGCGGCCATGTGTACCTAGGAAAACACCGATGTGGTTTTCTTAGACAGTTCTAGGCTTTGTTCATCTGGGTTACTTAACGTTAAGCTGAAAAAAACAACTTAAGGATCTTGAATCAAGGGTTTAATTAAAGAAAGCTTCACTGGATAAGGATGGGAATGATCTGTGTTTGTTTCTATTGTTTTTTTTTTAAGATTTTATTTATTTATTTTTAGAGAGGGAAGGGAGGGAGAAAGAAAGAGAGAGAGAAACATCCATGTGCGGTTGCTGGGGGGCCGTGGCCTGCAACCCAGGCATGTGCCCTGACTGGGAATCGAACCTGCGACACTTTGGTTCGCAGTCCTCACTCAATCCACTGAGCTACGCCAGCCAGGGCTTGTTTCTATCGTATACACTTTCAGATAGGTGATAGGGCATGATTAACGAAACATCATCTTTCAAACAAGGCCAGCAACGGCAGCCCGTCTCCTCGAAGGAGGCCTCGTCCGCACCATCTGCGTGGCCGAGCCCTCCCATGGCCTAGAGCCCGTCCCGCCAACAGTCACTGGGCCGCCCGGAAACGCCCACTCTGTCCCTCTCGGTGTCCTCGGGACTGGACAGCACGTCTGCGTCACTTTAAAACCACCCTCCTCGTCATTGGCTGATTATTCCTGCTCCGGCTCCCACCGAGGCGCCCCGCCGGGACGCTCTGCCTGCCGCCCATCGGGGCGTGTGCAGAGTCCCGCCGGTTCTGAGATGACCGGTTCTCGCGTCTGCGTGCGGCCTGGCTGTCTGTCTGTCTAACCCGAGTGCCGCGGCCTCTCCGTGCTCTCACAGGGAGACGGTCTCCTGCCCGTCTCCCCACCCCCCTCTCTCTCTGTCAGCCAACGAGGCCCCGCCGAGCTCTCCAGGGCGGGGGTGGGGGGTGGGAGGCTTCAGCCTTGAGTGCTGGACACCGGACACCGCGGCCAAGGCCGAGCTCCGAGAAAGGCAGGGAGCACAGGTATTCACGCCCCTGAGACGGCAGAGCAGGCTGTGGGGCCGGCCGCCCCTCCCCCGCAGCCGGAGCCCCAGAGGACGGCAAGCCGGCCTCCCGCCCGCGGGTCCCCAAACGCACGGGGTGACCGTCTTCACCCGCGGGCGGGCGGGTGGGCCCACAGACGCTGACCCAGGGCTGCGGAGGGCCGGCTGTGCCCGGGACGAAAAAGCCTGCGCAGGAGTGAACCCTCCCGGGTCAAGGGTCAACCCTGTGCAGGTCAAGGGTCAGCTGTACGCAGCCTGAGGTCTGAAAACTCCAGATTTGAGATTTAGAAGATAGAATTTTCCCACCACTGTCACTGATAAAGTACAAACCCAAGCCTGCTTCCCCACCCGTCCCCCGACAGCGGATTCCATCGTGAAACAGGCTGCATTTGGATTTTTAAAGGGAAACTTAGTGTGAACCTCGTTTGAAACAGAAACAAAGAATTTGTTTTAGGTGTTTTTGGTCTGGCCAAGTGGTTTATGACCTTAATAAGGTTATTTTTTCTACTTTTTAAAGAATTGGTAAGACGTAACTATCATTTCTAGAAAACAAATAACTTGAATATTAAAAATCTTTAAAAAATTTCTGGGTTCAATGCTGCCCTTAAGGAATTCTGTTTCTACATGCAATCCAAAGGCAAATTTAGGCTCAGAATGTGGGAAAAAATGCAAATTCACAGTTTTGCTAAATACTTGCTAAATTTTCTGTCTTCTGGCTTTTACGTTTCTCCTCATTTCGCACAACGCGGGCCTCACCCCCTCCCCCGCCCCCCAAACCTCCTCGGCGCCCCGCCCCCACCGACGCGTGGTGGGAGGAGCGTGCGCAGGCGCCCGACGCCTCCGCGGGGCCAGGGCAGGGGCCCCGCAGACGCGGAGGTGCCCCCCCCCGAGCCTTACTGGTTATCCGCGGGACCCTGACGGGCTCGCTGCTGGCGCCATCCCCTCCGGCCGTGGTCGCGCGGACGTGGATGATGTAGCCCCCCTCCTCCACGGGCAGCCGCAGCTCGGCCGAGGTCCCCGTGGTGCTCAGCACCCGCACGCCGTCCTGGCCGCTCGTCCTGTAGAAAACCTGGGACGGGGACACGTGTGCTCGCCACGGGCCGGCTCGCGGGCGCTCACGGAACCTGCGGCTGTGGCCGTATTCAGCCCGTCACAGCTCTGTCCGGAGAGGCTGGCTCGTGGCGGGACCATCAAGTCCTCAGGCCCGGGGGATGGGCAGGGGGAAGGTCACCGTGGGCGGGGTGTTGGGGGGCTGGATGGGGGACACCAGAGAGCCGACATTGCTCTTAGCGTGGCACGTGGGGAGGAGCAGACGCAGCAAACTAACATAAAAAAATCCACATTTTATCCAAAATCTGCACACGGCAGACTTATTTCACCTAAACCGCACTTAAGGAGTCAGACGTTTCGGAAAAGGGCCCTTTTACTAAGCGGGTTGGCCCGGGCACGACAAAACTGCGTTACGGGAGGAGGCCGGGTCGCGCACGCGGAGAGAGCCGGCCCGGCGGCCGGGAAAGGAGTCCCGGCGCATGCGCGCTCACCTTGTACCCGGTCACCTCCGACTCGTTCTCGGCCGCGCGCACCCGCTCCCAGCGCAGCAGCACCTTCGTGTCGGTGGCGTTCCAGACCACGTTGCCGGGCGGCTGGCTGGGGGCTGGGGGAGGAAGTGAGAGGTCGGGGCGGGGGCGGGGGCAGGCGCGGGGCACCCCCCCCCCCCCGGAGCGGATACGCAAGAAAATAAAGCGGCTCAGCGGCTCAGGGGGCGGACCTGCGCGCACCCCTTGCACTGAGCTTTCACGAGGTCGCCCGAGGGCCTGGGGACGTCAGGAGGACGCGCGTGGCTCGGAGCTGCAGGGGCCGGCGCGGATCTGGCTGCTGTGGCCCGTCCACCCCAGACACACACACTCCTGCCCCCGCGACCGACCCACGCGGAAGGTACGTACGCATCTTCTTGGTGGTGGCGTTGACCGTGGCGCTGAAGGGCCCGGCACCCGCGCTGTTGTAGGCCCGGACGGCGGCGTGGTAGGCGCGGTGGCTCCGCAGGCCGCGGAGCCGGGCCGAAGTCTTGCCGGCCGCCACCGTCACCCTGCGCGGCAGGCCCTCCTCTCCGCTGCTCCAGTAGCGCACCTGCGGGCAGAGCGGGGCAGAGCCACCTTCAGGCCCGGGGGTCCCGCTGCGGGGGGCGCTGCGGGCGCTGCGTCTTCCTCATTGACTGAACAAGTGTTCGCAAGGCGCCTACTGTGTGCCGTGCCGCCCCGGGCTCTGGGCCGTGGGGTCAACGGAAGGGTGTCCAAGAGACGGACAACAAACAAGTGCACAGATAAACCGGGAAGCTGCAGAGAAGGCGCGCTAAACCCCAGGAGAGGCGAGTGCTAGCGAGGGGACAGGAAGGAGAAAGGGCCTAGCCAACGTTGAGGGGCCCCTGCCCCGCCCACCCGGGCCAAGCCCGACTGCAGAAGGCCGGACGCCAGGCTGCAGCTCCCTGACCGGGGACTGCCCCTCTGGGAGGGCAGTGACCCCGGGGACAGAGCACCACCACGGAGCCAGCTCCCAGCGGCTGCCCTGCGGTGACGGCCACGTGAGCACCAGGCCGCGGAGCTGCTGCGGAGGAAGGGGCGGGGCGGGGCGGGGCGCGGTGGGAGCCGATGGGGAAACGCCTGCGAGGGTTTCGTTCTTCCGCGCTGTGGGAAACGACCTGGGGCTTCGCCTAGAAGCAGACGCTCACAGAGCGCAGCGATGGGCGCGGGTCCCGCGGGGCTTTGCTGGAAGTCCGACTGTTGGAGCAGCCAGAGCGAGGCGGCGAGCGCGGCCAGGGCTGCGCGGCGGCCAGCAGGAGGCTCACGCGGAGCGCGTGCGTGGCCGCCCGACCGCCGGGACACGGGACGCAGACGCAGGGGCAGGCTGTGCGCACGTGTGTTACTTTCATGAAGACTCCTCACTCGCCTGCTGTCCTTGGAAGATGCCCTTTCTTTCTCTCCTTTTCCCACTCTTCGGAGCGAAGTGCAGAGACAGGGAACCGTTGGACAATTTGTGCACGTGAGGCTGCTGGCCCACGTGGGGGCAGTGGCCCCGCCGGGGGGGGGGGTTGAGAGGCCGCGGGCCTGGACTGGGGCGGAGGGCGGGGCCCGGTCACACTGCGCCTGGGGGCGGAGTCGCCGCACGGCTCTGGTTGACCGGGGTGGTGGGCGTGGGGGAGGGCGGTTCTCTTTGTTTTTTGTTTTTTTTTTTAAAGAAACCCTGATTTTAAGGTGAAATGCCCCGAGCTCAGAGTTGGCCCCATTTCTTGCAGACAGTACAGGTAGGACACAGTGTGGTTATGGGCTGCACAGGGTGACCGGTTTCAGTCCGCTGGGGAGAGACGCTGGACGTTACCGCTTTTTGCTGTTTGAGTGAACAACTATCAGTTCGTTCTGTGAAAAAATCGTAGCAAAGCACAAATTCGGGGCTTTCCGTAGTGATCCCAGATTAGCACACTCATGTTACACCAGCCCAGCATTTCCCCTCTGCGTGCGTGTGTTGATATGTGCACATGTGTTTGTGCATGTGTTTGTACGTGTGTGTGCGTGTGCACTTGTGCGCACTGCGTGTCTGCGTCCCCCTGGAAAGGAGCGATTAGCTCTTCTAAGAAGGACGTGAGCCAAACGACTGGGGAGAAGTCGAACGTGTCGTCCCCACAGCTTTGAAGCACCGAGTTAGCAGTGCAACTCGATGGCGTTTTAGCCGCATAAAAAAGCACATAAATGGCAGGCGCCGTGTGCCACTGCGGGAGAAAACCACATGGGTAGGGCCAGAGCGACACGCCAGGGCGTCTGCTCCGGAGCCGCGGCCGAGCTCGCGGCGGGCGGGGCCGGGGCCCGGCCGGTCCTGGCTGTGCCGACGGTGAGCGAGGCCAGCGAGGAGGGTTGGCAGGGGCCGGGATGACGAGACAGCGGCCCCCTCCCCGGAGGTGCCGCCCGGTTGTCAAGGAAGAACAGCGTGTGATCGCGGATCCCAGTCCGGCGTGGGGGAGGCCTGGGGGGCGTGGCCTGAGACGCAGCCCAGATGGGGGCAGGGCTGGGGCGGAGCCAGTCTGACGGGGTGGGCTCCGAGGACCCGCGGGGGCGGCCAGGACAACGGAGGGGGGCAATGCGACCCGCCAGGGTCGTCCTCCCACTCACTCTGGTCGCCACCTGGGCTCCGACCCGTGGTCCCCCCTTTTCCGCGTGAAGTTGCCTCGTCAGAAGCCCCCAAACGCTGTTCCTCCGGGGACAGGATTAGAGAGGAGATAGACGCACGCGGCCCCGGGCCTGCGGAAGCCCTTCCACGCGTCCGTCCCCAGGAGGGGCCGGAGGTCCCGGCGGCCGATCGCTGCGCAGAACCAGACGTGACCGCAGGTGTCCATCCTCACGTTCAAGGAGGAATTGCTTCAACGGAGAAGATGCCGCCACACCGAACGAACATGGTGTTGGTTAAAACTGATTATGGACTCTTACTTGGCTCTCCTTTAAAACGGTGTGAATATGCATTACACTAAAAGAAAGGCTAAGCAGTGACATTAATATTCCCGATTTCTGTGAAAATTTTCCCAAAAATGTTTATATGAGCCTAGGCTCTGTTCTCCACACAAAGAGGGAGAAGTCAGGAGTGACCGGAGACAAAGGGCCGTCTGTCCTCCTGGCTGTGCTCCGTGGAGGTGCCCCCTCGCGCCCCCGAGCACCCCCGCTCTGCCCCCACTCCCCGGGGCTTTACAGGTGCGGCCACGGCGTGGGGCGGCACCCACCCGGAGCTGCCGAGCCCTCGGCCGAGGGAGGAGTGGGGCGAGAGCGTTGGTGCTGCCGGACACCAGGGCACCGTCCACGGAAGGCAGTGGAGGCAGATCGCAGCGCACAGGCGCCCGAGGGCCAGGAAGACGGTGGGGCGGGGTGGGGGGGGAGCCAGCTGGGGCACCCGTCAGCCTCGGACCCTCACTTGACTCTCTGCCCCGCGGGCAAGTCCACGAAGGGGAGACCCGACTGGTGACGCAGGAGGGAGGGAGGGACAGAGAAGAAAGGGGGCGGATCTAGAAACCATCGAGCAGAGGCCCGATGTTAAAGACTCAGACCCGTGATGGAGCTCAGCGGAGGGCGAGGAGGTGATTGAGGAACCCAGAACATGGATGGAGGAGGGTGTGAGCACCGTGCAAGCACAGGTCAGAGGCACGGAGGACGCCGTGAGCGTTCTAACCCGAGTTCCAGAGGGAGAGAGCTGGGCAATGGAGAGGAAACACCCGAGAGTTTTCCAGAACCGAAGAAACCCGGGGGTTTCCACGCTGTGCATTCTGTCCACAGACGCAGCGTCAGAACCGCACTGAATTACGCGGGTCGCCCGGGGGTGCCGGGAAGTTGGGCGACGCGGGGAAAACCCACATGCTGGGTGCAGGGCACGGCATCCTGCTGTTCCTCGTGCTGGTGCCGCAGACCCCCTTCCCCGTGGGGGGTGCGTGCCCGGACGCCAGGTGGACGCCTGCAGCCACCGGGGGGACCCGGCCCCTAAATCGCACTCTGCCTCTTCCCGTGACACACACCTGGGACCAGGCCGATGCACAGACCAGATGAACCACCGGATGGTTCACGAACTAAAACCTCCGAGGGGTTGATTTGTGGAATTTCCGTTACATTTCCGGGGCCCGGGGGGCCACAGGGCTCGACACCCGGGGTTGGGGACCTCAGACGCAGGGTCGGGGGCTGACACACTCAGACCGACACTCTGGGTGTGCGGCACGCCGAAACTCCCGTTTCTGGGTGAGAGACTTTTTCCTCCGGGACCGTAAAACCACTCCGCGGGCCGGAGCATCTTTACGAGCGCAGAAACGAGCTCGGGGACGTCGGGGTTCTGAGTGCGGTCGCCGTTTCTGCGAGGGGTTCGGTCGTTCCGAGAACGAATGGCCCTGAGGAAGAGTCCTCGTGCCGCTGCGGCTGAGACGGCACTTAATTTAAACTTGAAATGAAATGCAGTTTATGAAAATAATGCGCTGAAAAACGGCACCTTTTTTTAGCCATTAAAGCACAGGTATGAAGTCTAAACTGCTCTTTTAATGGGCTAAAATAATTCTGTTTATACTTACAGATTTTCAGAGAGGAGTATTTCAATTGAGCTGCCGGACCGAACACATTTAAACAGATATCAGGCAGGCGAAAGTGTCTCCGGCGGTGCTTCGGAGGAGACAGCCAGATCTGCAGTCTCTTTTTGCCCCTCACTGGGGTCTCAGGCCTGGGAGGGCCCGGGCCTGAGGGGCAGGCAGGCCCCTCGCCCCCTGACCTCTCCTGTGGGTTTGGGCATGGACACAGGAGGCGGGGGCGGGGTGGGTCCCAGGTTCAGTCCCTCCAGGCTGAGCTGGGGTCTGGCAGGAGCCTCTCTGCCCGACAGGGACTCGGCTCTGCTGGGGCTGCCTGGCTCTCAAGGGCATCTGCCGGCTCCCAGTTTCTGCAAGTGTGTCTTCAGGGTCGGTGGGGTTGGGGGGGCCACCCCACTCTCCTCTGTTCTTCCGCTGGGTCCAGAGTGAAGTTGCCCCTTCGCCTGACAGCAGGGAATCAGACTCAACACGCACGTCTTTCCTTCCCAGCAGAACTTTCATCCTCAGAAACCTCCTCCAGCACCTGCCGTCTCTCTCCCGTCCCGGTGAAAGCCCTGGGGAGCCGCACACCCACCCGGCCGCAGACGGCAGGAGGCGGTGAGGGCGGCTGCGGCGTCTCCGTCCGGTAACCCGCACGCCTGTCTGGGGACAGTCCCTGCTGAGCACTTCTAAAGACCGACGAGGTGCTGGGACACAGGCTCGTCTGTGCTGTGGGCCAGGTCCACACCCGGGTCTCCGTCGCTCACCAGGGTCCAGGCCCAGAGGAGTCTCAGGACGCGGCCTGTGGACAGCGCGCCACCGGATCCCGGTGTCCCCCCCCCTTCCCCCTCCGTGAGCTCTGTCCGCAGGCACGGGAGCGCGTCAGCTTGGTGGGACGCCGCCATGGCCCTGGGAAGCCAGCCCTTCAGTGAGGACTCCGTCCCGTCGGGGGAGCTGGTCGGGGGCGCAGCCCTCATGGGGGAGCCCGGCGGGGTCAAGGCCACGTGGGGGGAACGGTGCCCAGGCAGCCGGCCCCCACTGGGAGCTCCGTGCCCTGCGAAACCCTCGGTTTTCCAGGTTGGTGTTCACATCCTGACCGACGCTGAAAACTCCGATGTTCTTCTCTGTGTGAGTACAGAAACCAGGTCTGAAGGCGTCCTCTGTTAGGGCGTCTTCGTCTGCGCCGGTCTCGTTCTCGTCCCACTTCCGGGGGCCCCGGGGGAGGGACACACCGGCTGCTCCTTCGGGACCGGGGTCAGGCCCCGTGGACGGCCGGCGGGCTGCCCAGTGGCCGGCGCGGGCTGCGAGACTGCGCCCGGGACTCGCCCCCCAGAAGACGCACCCCGGCCCCTCCCCACCCGCCTCCCACCGAGGGCAGCGCAGGGGAAACACGGCCCCAGTCCCACGCTCCGGTCCTGCTGTCTCCGCGTGACTTCATGGGGCGTCAGACTCCCTGCCAGGGACATCCACCGGAGGACCCACACTCAAAACAGGGGGGGCCCCAAGTCTTGGGGCTGCCGGACGATGGCCGTGAGGTAGGTGGTCTACTGCTATCGCCCTCATCGGAGCGACTTCGGACAGAGCGCCCCAGCGTCTCGCCCAGGCTGTGTGAAAGCAGAGCCCGGCGCGGCGGAATCGGGTGTGGCTCAGGTGCGATCTCAGGGCCACACTCTGCTGCAGGTGTGCTCCCTGCGTCCCCCGCCCCCACCTGTCCCCGCAAAGCCGTTTCCCCACCCGTGGGGCGCCGCCCTGGCTGCCACCATCTGTGGCACTCGGGTGCACAGCCCCGGGGCTGGAGGGGTTCCCCGCCCGGGCTCGGGGGCCTGCTGTGCAGTCGCTGGTCCTTCCTTCCTCCCTCGGCTCTGTGCTCCCCACTCCGGGGACCTCAGCCAGCGTCCTGTCACTAACCCACAGGAGGACGTCCCCACGCCCAAAGTGCGTCCCAAAGTGTCCGTGGACGAGACCCATCCCCGGGTGTCTGGGGTCAGCGGGTCCAGGACGGTTCTGGGAGCTCATCTTTAGTGGAAAACTCAGGTAAATCTGACGGCCGAGGTCCACGGGACACCAGTGAGTGTCACGCTGCTGAGCGATCCTTTCTCTGTCACGTTCGCTCAGGTCAGTGCCCGTTTGGCCCAAGGGACAGAAGGTCCCTCAGGCTCAAATACCGCCCACGGGTGTTCACACGGGTCAAGGGGCTGGGGGAGTTTCAACAAAGGCTGGACTGTGGCCGAGAGGTCGCTGTCGAATACCCGCAGGTGAACATGGCGACCTCCAGGCAGCGGCTGCCAGGCGTTCCCGGGACTCACCTCGTAGCCCAGCAGGTGGCCGCTGCTCAGCCTCCACGGCACGGCGCCCCAGGACACCTCGATCTCCGAGGCGGACAGACTCTCCGCCGAGACCCGCGGCGGCGCAGCTGCGGGCTCTGCCGGTGGGGGACACAAGGGGAAGGGCGGTCTCAGTGCTGGCAGCACGTCTGAAACACCCACCGCGGTTCCGGGTGTCGGCCAGCATGGTAGGGAGTGGGAAAGTTTCCACAGTGGGCGGCGAGAGTGTTTGAAAACACGACCGTCACATGCAAACAGAGGCACCAGCTGATGTCCATTTCTGAGGACCTAGCAGCATTGGACCCACGCACGGCCCTGCTCTGGGGCCGCGGTGGCCTGGGCGCCCCCTCCACCTGGTCCTGGACCCCCACTTTTCCTCCTCTTCCCTTCATGCTCCCCAATCACCACCGCCGCTCTTATCCTGGCTCCTGCCTGGGCACCACCACACCCACGAAAGCTACTGGTTATCGCTTTTCAACTCCCCAACGACGGTCAAGGGCTACAGGTGTCACCTCTGCACTGGTGAGTGGCTGCGGGGGTCCAGGCCGCTTGCACCCGCATCTGGGCGGGGCACCCTCCAAAGGGGTGGGCATACACAGGACGCACACGGTCAGGGGCCCCTCGGCGGGCTCCGGCCCGGCGACCCTCCCCACTCAGCGCAGCCCTGAGCCGAGACCCTCCCCCCCGCGAACCCACCCTGTCGGTAACCGACTCTGCTCGCTGCCACGGTAGATGGGTCCCAGGACTGCGCCCGGGCCCAAGCTGGGCCCCTGGGTGTTCCTCCTGGGAATTCCAGACTTGGTCTGGGAGGGCGAGGGGTTCCTGGGGCCCATGGACCCACTCCTGGCGTGCTGGGGAGACAGCCCTTTCGGGGCCCAGGCCTTCGCTGATGAAGGCTCTTGATGAGGCTCTCTGTTCAACTCTTCCTCCGCTTCCAGGAGAGGCCCCAGAAATTCCCGAAAGACGCCTCAGGCTTTCATAGACCAGCACCCTCTGTTTCTGATGCTTGGAACCGAAGGACCCGTCACCGTGTCCTCAGGGGCGGCAGGGGGGTCACAGGAGAAGGGAGGTGCGGGCGCAGGAAGGTTGGAGGCTGTGTCTGTCCCTCCCCACGGCGCCCTCCGGGCCGGGGTGCTGCGAACCCCCCGATTCACTGGGACCCGACCCGGACCCCGACCTGCCCGAGTCCCGAAAGCCCAGCAATGCTCGGAAACGGGGTGTGGGCGGGAGTGGGAAAGCTCTCCTCTGCGAAGCTGCTTGTGACGCGTTTGTGTGTCTGCCCAGAAAAATGGGGGGCCTGGGGGAGGGGACGGAGGAGAACGGAGTGTCTCCTTGTCCTTAGGAGCTGCGGCCGCGGGCCGCAGAGGACACAGCTGACAGCGTGTTTCACAGCTCGGCGTGGTCAAAGTGCCAGCTTGGTGGGTCGGCTCCATGGGGGCGTGTTTATCCGTGTGGTTTGCAAGCTTCCACGGCCCCATGAGTGCACCATGAGACCCCCTCTGCCCCTGCAGGTTGCCCGGCCGGGAGAGGCCGGAGGAGGTTGCCTCGGCCACCACACCTGCTGACGGCTGCGGCTCCCAGCGGGGCCTGACATCAGGGTGCTTCGTGACGAGAAGCAATATTGGGGTTGGAGGTACGTGAGGGTGGACGGGGTGGGTCCAGGAGAAGGGTGCCCCCTGGGCCACAGATCCAAGCTGTGCCTGGGCTGCCCTGGCCTCACCCTCCTGCTGAGCCCCTCGCTTGGTCACGGTCGTGGTCACGGGCACTGGAGCCACCGTAACACTAGAGACCAGGGCGCCTCCCGGGGAACCTCGTCCTCCAACCCCGGGAGAGGACGCTCGGCAGGGCGGGCCCTCCCCCTCACAGCCAGGACTCAGCACGCTCCCTACACGGACCGTCACCAAGGGTGACCCCTCTACCTGCCCAGAGTCTCCTGTTGGCAAGCGGCCCTGGGAACCTAACTGTGGCTCCCACCATCGTGCACCTGGAGGGACACACCTGAAGTCACAGGGAACCCCCCCTGCCCCCCAGAGGTCGGCTCAGGGACAGGCCGGTGGGCCTGTGGGCAGAGCCGACGGACAAGCTGCGGCCCCGTACCTTCCTCCGCGGAGAACACGGTCGTCACGGGGCTGAAGGGCCCCTCCCCCTTGTCGTTGAACACGCCCACGCGGACCTCGTACAGGGAGAAGGGCACGATGCTCTCGTTCCGGAAGACGTATCTGGGCGTGTCCGCGGACGGGACCACCGTCTGGATCCAGCTGGAGGCTCCCAGCGGGCGGAAGGCGACGACGTACCCGAAGCCTTCCCCGTTCTGCAGCTCTTCCGGCACCGGCTGGAGGGAGAGACGCAGCCCGTCGGCGGGGCCGGCTGCCCCACGGGGCCCAGCCCCGGCAGCCGTGATCCTCAGAGGGCGGGGCTGCCCCAGAGAGGAAGCCGCATCGGGGGACGCGGGTACGTGAACGACAGAGGACAGTCCCGGGCAGACGTGGGGCGCTCCCTCACAGCCAGGCCCACGGAGCCCTTCTCAGGGCTCGGGGACTTGGGAGCCTCCCCAAGCCCCAGTCTGAGCTCTGGACGGTGATGATGGTGATGGTGGTGATGGTGATGATGGTGGTGATGATGATGGTGGTGATGGTGGTGATGATGGTGATGATGGTGGTGATGGTGGTGATGGTGATGATGGTGGTGGTGGTGATGATGGTGATGATGATGGTGGTGGTGGTGATGATGATGGTGGTGATGATGGTGGTGATGATGATGATGATGATGGTGGTGATGATGGTGATGATGATGGTGATGGTGATGATGATGATGGTGATGATGGTGGTGGTGATGATGATGGTGGTGATGATGGTGGTGATGGTGGTGATGATGGTGGTGGTGATGATGATGGTGGTGATGATGGTGGTGATGGTGATGGTGATGATGGTGATGATGATGATGGTGATGGTGATGGTGATGACGATGGTGATGGTGATGGTGGTGATGATGATGGTGATGGTGATGGTGATGACGATGGTGATGGTGATGACGATGGTGATGGTGATGATGATGGTGATGGTGATGATGATGGTGGTGATGATGGTGGTGATGGTGATGATGGTGGTGGTGATGATGGTGGTGGTGATGATGGTGGTGGTGATGGTGGTGGTGATGATGGTGGTGATGATGGTGGTGATGGTGGTGATGGTGATGGTGATGGTGATGGTGATGATGGTGGTGATGATGGTGATGATGATGGTGGTGGTGATGATGGTGATGATGATGGTGGTGATGATGGTGGTGATGATGATGATGGTAGTGATGATGGTGGTGATGGTGATGATGGTGGTGGTGATGATGATGGTGGTGATGATGGTGGTGATGATGATGGTGGTGGTGATGATGGTGGTGATGATGGTGGTGATGGTGATGATGGTGATGATGATGGTGGTGATGGTGATGGTGATGATGGTGATGATGATGATGGTGGTGATGGTGGTGATGATGGTCATGATGATGGTGGTGATGATGATGGTGATGGTGATGATGGTGATGATGATGGTGGTGATGGTGATGATGGTGATGATGGTGGTGATGGTGGTGATGGTGATGGTGATGGTGATGGTGATGGTGGTGATGGTGGTGATGGTAGTGATGATGATGGTGATGGTGGTGATGGTGGCGATGATGATGATGATGATGGTGATGATCATTGGATAACTCCTCTCTCATGCCAACTAGGAACCATCTAGTCCCCACACTGGTAGGATAATTAATCCCCAAAGTAAAACTAGGAAACCCGGAAGTAAAAACAAGGTGTCAAACTCCAAGCTGTGCCTGCATCGCGTCACAAACCCCTCCAGCACGGTCTCCGCACTCTCACTTTTTCAACAACGTCTTCAGACAACACAGAGGAGTGTAGTCAGTGCCTCCTGGCTTTAACGTGCTCGTTGAAACGGCCCCTGGTTGTGACATGAAGCAGCCGCTGCGAGGACGCCAGGAGGCTGGCCCCTGCCGGCATCCGTGGGGGCTGTGTCCCCTGTGGGGGGCCGTCCCCGGCGGTGGCGCGGCAGCTGTGTGGAGACCCGCAGGGCCAGCTGGACCGTCCACAGCCAGGCCCCGGCTCTCCCTTTGGTCTGCCAGCCCAGTGGCCGTGGGCAAATTATTTACCGACTCTGTGCCTCAGTGTCTCGTCTGCAAATTGTTGCAAGGATGCAACTTAAAAATATGCAAAAGGGTCGGAATCCTGCTTAGCACAGGGCGGGCTTTGAGAGCGTGAGCTGCTGGCGGGACCGCAGCCCCGGCCCCCGGGAGGCCCGGCAGCGGTGGGGGCCGCCGGCCCGGGGAGCAGGGAGCGGGTGGGGCGGCCGACACTTACGTCCCAGGTTATCACCAGCTCGGACCGGCTCCCGCCTCCACCGCTGACCTCGGAAGGGGGCACCTCTGGAGCTGAGGGCGAGAGAGACGGGGTGAGGCCCTGCGAGATGACGCCCTCTGGCTCGTGTCTGGTGTTTGAGGCAGTTTCATCGCTGGCACATTTTACACATGTGTGTGAGTCTATCGGCGATGCATGCACTTATGTGTGTGCACAGCCGACCTGGGAACAATGTGGGCTCGGACACAGTTGTCCTCCCTGAGCCCTGGGCTGTTTCTGACTGAGGTCGGGGTGTCCCCGGGTGCAGGGGGCTGGCTGTGCGCAGTGATCTACCGCCTCCCTCAGCCACGGGGAGCTCCCTTGTGCTGTCGCCGCCCACAATCCCCAGCGGGAGCTGCGATGCAGCTGCAGTCGTTGGGGAGTCCCACCCGGGCTGTGGACTGGGCGGGGTCCGTGCCCGCCCTGTTCAAGGGTCAGCTGTGTCTGTCTCTGGGGCACCGTCGCATCATTTGTGTTTGCATGACATCATCGAAGGTTCAAACAGCGAGTGAGTGGCTGAAGAGCCATAACACGAGGAACGTGACTCCCTGGGGACGATCCGAGGACGATGCCACCCTCAGCCCAACGGCGGCTATACACACAGGTGCCCAGACCCACACCCTCCCGTCCTGCGACCCGCTGCCCTTCCCGACCCTCAGCCAGATGCCGCGCTCTCACGGGCCGGGAGGCTTTGGGCTGGGGAGCCCCGGGCACTGCGAGAACGCTGGGTCCCCGCCGTCTGGTCGGGCCCCGCTGTGCCCACGGTGTCGAGAAAGTGCAGAGCCCACAGCAGACACGCCCTCCACGGGTCACGTGAGTGAGCGCGGCACCGCTCAGACAAGGTCCCCTACGCCCCCGACACCTGGCGCCAATTGATCCGTGTCATTCCCAGGAAAATGGCATCATTCAAATTGCTGAGACCTATGCCATGACTCCTACGTGGCTGCATCCACAGCTCTCACTGGCAGGAGAACTGTGTTTGAAACACCATTTCACTTGATGCCCCTCAACATCACAGACTCCGCAGGGAAAGCCCCCCGGTCCGCCCCGACGCCTCCGTGACGTGACCCCGGGCACAGCTGAGGCGCTCAGACGCTTCTACAATCGTGAGCTGGCCCTGCGGCTGCCACGAGCAGCCTCCCCACGTGGAGAACGTGGACGACGATTCCCTCCTAACGGAACACTCACGGGGCCACAACGGGCCCCCTCAGCGACAGCCTCCTCGCGTCCCCGAGCTGCTGGCTCCTCGGCGTCACTGCCCTCCCCCCTGCCAGCGCCCCCGTCTGTGCAAACGGCACCTCCCCCGCCCGCAGGGTGACTGGGCAGGGGTGCCCGTCACTGCCAGGGACGACACCGTGCTCGCTCAGCAGGCACCGACAAACACCACGGCGCACGGGACTCCCGGACACGCCACGTGGCACCAGGCCTCTGACACACGCCGCCCGGCCGACCCCAGTCCTGCCACGGGGGTTCGGGTCATCGCCGTGGTGCACCGCTGTGGCGGGACCCCGCAGGCCTGGGCACCAAGGGACAGGGGACCCGCGCCCGGGAGACCTGCCACCCCGTTACTCAGGAAACGGAACACTAACCTGCCTCTTCGGTTCTTACTTTTTCTGAGGGTAAACTGGGCTCTCCGCCTCCGAGCCTGTTGCTGGCCACGACCCGGAACTCGTACTCCACCCAGGGGCTCAGCTCGACCGCGGTGGCCGAGCGTGTGTTCCCGTCGAGGAGCCCGGGCACTGCGCGGGGCGGGGGGTGGGGGGGTGTCAGAGAGTGAGGGTCCGCCCGCAGCTCTCGGCGCCGACCCACCGCGGTCCGCCTGCCCCTGTACCTGTTGTGGCGGCTTGCCAGCCCACGGAGAACGGCGTCCTGGCCTGGACGGAGTAGGACGTGACGGGGCTGTGGTTGTCGGCGGCTTCTCTCCAGGACAGCTGGGCGGTGGTGTCCGTGATTTCCTCCACCTTCACGCTCTTGGGGGGCCCGGGGGGACCTGTGGGAGGCGGGGCCCGTCGGTGGGGGGCCGTCCCTCCATGCCGTCCTCCTCCACCAAAGGAAGAGCATGCTGGGGGTCCGCAATCTCAAACCACCCGGACAGGCCCACTCACCTGTGATAAAGCCACCCCCTCCCCCCTCCCCCCCCCCACACGTCTGTGGTTAGAGCTTCAATCAGAAGGTGAGGCAGTAGCTCTGAGGTCAGAGCACCCCACAACGGCACAGGGTGCCAGCTCTGAGGCCCCCCCTCGGGACTCCCACTCCTTCCCACATGCAGCGTCCTCTCCTTTGGCTGTGCAGCCGGCCCCCCGCCCGCTCACGGGGAGGGCTCGGGCGGCCGGGCTGCCGGGGCTGCTTTGCTGTCTGGGGCCGGCATCCCACCCAGTCCAGCCCAGGAGCAAATCAGCACCTCGGACAGCAGCTCAGCTCCATAGCCTCGGGCATCCTGGGGGGCCAGATCCTGGCTTACTCGCACACATGCAGACACACTCGCACACACACACACATATGTGTGCACACGTACATGTGTGCACACGCACCCGCTCAGATGCATGCACAGAGACATGCACACAGGTGTGCATGTGCACACACGTGTGTGGACGCTCACATGCACCATCACCGTTCCCTTGCACAGCACGCACAACCGCTGCGTGACTGACAGCTCACACCGGCCAGGCAGCGGCTGTGATCGCTTGTCACTGGAGACTGTGAGGGCAGCGCCGACAGTGCCATTCCCGTGGACCCGCACCCTCCCCGACGGTGCCGCCACGTCCTCAGCGGGGGAGGGGGTCGAATCGATATCAGAACCCACAGGCTCCCACACCTCCCCACCCCGGAGATTCCTGCACCGGGGGTGGGGGGAGGCTCAGGTAAGACGGGAAACTGGACACGGAGCGCGTGGAGGGCTACCTCTGACCACGAGGTCGGCGGCCGATGACACGCTGTCCACGCCGCTCTGCACCACGCAGACGTACTGCCCGCCGTGCTGCAGCTGCACGTTCCTGATCAACACGTCGCCCGACGAGCTCTGTGGGGCAGACACGCACTGAGCACCCTCGGCTTTGCAGGCGTGGAGCACCCTGAGGGCTGTGGGCGGTGCCCCCCACCCGGGGGGCGGAGCCCGCACCCCATGAGGAGACTGCGTGGGGGAGACGGAGGAAGCCGGGCCCGACAGAACGTGGGGACATGGGAGCCGGTGAAACCCCAGCCGGCTGCAGAGGGGCCGGGCGGCCGGGCGGCCTCTGGGCATTGCTGGTTCCAAGGACAAACGCAGGCAGGGGTCACAGTCCCAGAGTGGTTCCCTTCCCCCGGGCGACCCTTGTCTGCAGACCCAGGCTCAGCACCCGCTCCCTCTCTGCTCCTCGCCCCGTCTCTGCGCAGACCTCCCGAGGACGGGGGGGGGAGCCTGCCGGTCTCGGGGGAGAGGCGGCTGCAGGGCAGGGGCTGCCACACCGGCGCTCGCACGCCTGGTGGCGCTGGATTGGGCTTCACCACAGAACACAGGCACCGTCCACGCGAACCCCTCACACGGGGGGATCGAAACGTTTCCGGCCCTGCAGGGACCGGCCGTCCACCGAGAGGCTCCCGGTGCCTCAGTGCTGGTCATCGAGGCCCACGTGCTCGGCTCTCGGAGCTCAGCTCAAAGGGCCCTTGTCTTAGAAGGATGTGAAACCATGTTCACAGCATGGCCGACCGCAGGCCGGCACCACGCATCAGTCTCAACAGGGGTTGGAATAAAACGATTCGGAAAGCAAAGGCGTTTGCAGGTGACCACTCACGGGAACATCTCTAAGCCGGTGCAGACGAGGAAGCAACTGTGTGTGTCTTATTTACAGAAAAGAGAGTGTGACTCAGTTTCCCTAGGGCCCGGGGACAGATGGGTGCTGCCGCCCGGCTCCGAGGCAGTCTGTACAGTCTCCCGTGGGGCAGCTCTGTGACGGCTGCCCCCACCCTCAGGCCGCCCCACGGGCCGTGCCCTCCCTGCAGGCTGGCCTGTCGGCCCCCCGAGTCCCGGGAGGAGGCGGACATGAGGTGATTGGTGGCCGTCATTCGATGATAATCCAGAAACTCTTTTTTAAAAAAGATTTTATTTATTTTTAGAGAGGGAAGGGAGGGAGAGAGAGAGAGAGAGAGAAACATCAATGTGCTGTTGCTGGGGGTCGTGGCCTGCAACCCAGGCATGTGCACTGGCTGGGAATCGAACCTGCGACGCTTTGGTTCACAGCCCGCGCTCCATCCACTGAGCCACGCCAGCCGGGGCTGATAATCCAGGAACTCTTAACTTAGCAATGTCATCGCTGCCACGCTGAACCTGGTTTCTCCCTCTCCGCCTCTGTCTCCCCCTCAGCGGGGTTTAGGAATGTAACCCCAAACAGAACCTTCTCTGCTTGCTGCCCCTTCAGGGGGTCTGCAGGTTCCAGGGGCTCACGGCAGCTGGATTCCGACTTCTGGAGAAATCCCTGTGGCCGGAGAAGCGGGAATGTTGCTGCTAAACGCGACTGAGGCACCGCCGCCGCCAACAGTCCCCCCTCTTCCCTGAAGGGGTCGTTCAGCAGTTTGGGGGGCGCTGGGCCCAGGGGACCGGGACACGGCTTCCTGCACGTCCTGTCCTGGGAGCGGAGCGGCCCCTTCCCGGCACATGGCTCCGCTTCTTCACTCCGGTCTGGCCGGAGGCCGGAGGGACGACGTCGCCAGCTGGCAAACACAGCAGACCAGCGTCCTGCGGAAATGCGGCAGGGTCGACCCCGGGGAGACGGGATGTCGTGACCTTTCACACCGCGCAGTGGCGACGGTAGGGGCCACTGATCACTCCCCCAGCACCGGCATGGCGTTGGGCGGGGGAGCCCATGCGAGAAAACGCAGCCAAAACCAGGAGGGACGCCGGCCTCCGTGTCCCCTCTCCCAGGAAAACCCATCGGCTCTGTTCCTCTCCCAGTGGCTCCCTCCCTCACGCTGTCGTCTCTCTCTCGGTGCGGCTTCAGGGCGGGAGCCCAGGCAGGGCACCGGTGTCCGCGTGCGTGCGAGTGAGTGAGTTGTTTTCTCGGACCCGGGAGGCTCACTGAGCAGACATGAAGCGACCTCCCCCGGCACCAACCCCGTGCAGGAGCCCAGAGTGAAGGGGGCCGTGGGGGTCTTGTTCCCGACGTGGGGCCACTGGGGGCCGGGGTGGGTGGGCGCGTGGACGGGCAGCCGCTCCGGAAGCTGTTTCGTTGCCCAAGATGACGGGACGTTCTGGGGAGTCCAGCCCCGCCGCTCCCTCCCTGAGAGTGTCCCCTGCAGGGGTGTGTGCACCTGTGGTTGGGAAGCAGGTGTGGGCGGGGCCGTCACTGCCGCCCCTGTTGTAAAACTTGGGTGTGCACCCCCTCCGGGCCCCCCTCCCCGCCCTTCTGCCGCATCGGGGGTCAGGCTGTGCGTGAGGCGGTCCCTCCCCCCGGCTTCACCCCGCCCCCGGCTCCCCCCACGAGTCTGACGGAGGGCCAGCAGTGAGGGAGGGGGTTTGCCCACCAACACTCCTCCCTGCAGAGCTGTTCCGAGTGATTGTAACAAGAACCAAAAACCCCCAGGTCTGGCCCGGACACCCCCCTTCCCCTCAGCAGCCGAGTGTGAGCCCAGGAGGGCGCAGGCTGATCGGCCACGACCGCAGACCGGTCTCGGGGGCCCCCTCCCTGTCCCCCGAGTTCGCCGAAGGGAACAGAAACCAGGTGTGGTGTGAAGGAGGGTGATCATTAGACTATTTTCTGGTGAAAAGATTGATCTGAAATTTCAAAGTCCGTGTAAGAAACACAGTTTAACAATCACTTTTTACTGTTAATAAAAAAGTTCCTGATTTTGACGGCCACGTTTTAAATCGCCCCCAATGAACCGTTCATCCTTCCCTTCCGCGTTCATGGTCGCACCAGTTAGAGGGTGCCATGAAACGCCGTGTCTGGGAAAGTGAATGGGTTCCTTTCTGAAACTGGAGCATGAACCCTCAGCCAGCGTGACAACTTCAGCGCAATGACGGAAAGGCCAGTGAGTGCCCCCCCCCACTGCACCCCGGGCACGTCCCGCCCCCCGGCTCACTGCTGGTCAGCTCCGAAGCAGCTGAGCCTCACGGCTCCACCCCAACGGGAGGGAGAGAGCTGAGCCAAGGAGAAAACCAACCACTCTCCTTAAACGTGGAGATGTCACAGACACACCCACAGCCTCTGACACGGGGGAGACGCAGGCTGGGGGGCCCTTCCGTCTCGGGACAGCACTGAGCTCCGCGAGCAAAGGCAGGATCCTGGTGGTGGCCCCCCGCCCCGTGCACCCCCGTCTGCCTTCAACCCCAAGGCCAGGCCACTGCCGGCACTCCGGGCCGTGTGGCAGGAAACACCCAGCGGGCGGACACGCAGACACACGCAGACACACGCAGACACAAGCAGGGCGGAGGTCGTCTGCAGCTGGCAGTGGGTGGTGCTGGGCAACGGGCGTGAGGCCTCTTTTTGAAGGAATTAAAACACCCTGCAGTCAACGTGGGTGACAGATGCAGAATTCGGTGACTGTGCCCCCAACACTCGGCTGCTCACGTGGAGTGGCTGCTCCGGGTGGCACGTGAGTGACGTCTCAGGGACGCTGCTAGGGACACCGGCGCCCACACCGCAGGACCGGCCGGGACAGGCGGGGACCGGCCTCCTCCCTGTCTGGGGCTGTGTGGTCCCCCGGTCACTGCCCTTGTCAGACTCGCCCCCATTTCCGACAAGTGGTCTCTGCAGAGCAGGGAGCTCCCCGAAAGTCTGTAGCACTGCATGGCGGGAGGAGTACAGAAAATTCTAGAAACCGTGCGAAAGACGCAAGGAAAGGGGGAACAGACAGGCCAGTGTCGCAGGCAGTGGGAACCCGGGCTCCTGGGTGAGTCCGAACACGGGTCCCGGCTGCTCCGATCAGGTCGCGGCCGGCGGTGACCCCCGACCGGCATTGACCCCCGACCGGCGTTGACCCCCGACCTCTGCAACGTGCTGGTCGGGCTGCAGCCCCCAGGAGACGGCGCGTCACCAGCACCAGGCACTGCTTCGCGGTTCTCCGCAAAGTCTCAACCCCTCCTCGAAACTGCACTTTTGATTTGAATTTGTTTACTGACTGATTGGAGAGAGAGACAGATGGAGAGAAACATCAATTTGCTGCTCCACTCATTGACACATTTGTTGGTTGGCTCTTGCCTGTGTCCTGACCGGGAATCGAACCTGCAACCTTAGCGTATCCGGATGGTGGTCTAACCAACTGGCCTTCCCGACCGATTCCTGGTCAGGCGGGACCATCACGGAGGAGGAGACGACGGAGCACCGGACAGCATCTGTGTTCTGCTGGGGTCTCGATGACGGCTCTCCGCAGCCCAGTGGTGCCGGGCGGGTGAAGACACGTTTCAGACCCTCGGCCCGTGTGCCCGGGACACGGCAGTGCCGCCGCTCACGTGGGTGCCGCCGCGGGGCCCTGCGAAGGGGCCGGGACTCGCTGAGACCGAGGCGCTGCCTCGCCAGCCTGTCCTCGGGCGGCGAACACCGTGTGCACGGACGCCGTTCCTCCCGTGGGCGTGGGCGGCCCCCGACAGAGCCGCCCGGGACGGCGTGGTCTCGGTCGCCACGTTGCACTGGGACCACACGCTCCAGGTGGCGGCAGGCGAGCTCACGTCCAGGCGGTTCCGAGGACGCCGTTGGGTCCCGACAGACCTGGAGCCCCGGGTCACGCGGGCGACGGGCGTTTCTGGAGCCGCCCAGGCGTGCGGTCAGCGGCCTCTGCACCCACCGGGCCCGAGCCGCGCGTCCCTGGGGAGCGGGAGGGGGGCCCACGACTCACCCCGCCGACCTTCTCCAGGTGGGACCCGGCCCCGCCGACGTCCGCCAGGGCCCCGTTGAAGTACCAGGTGAAGGCGGCACGCAGCAGCGGGTCGTGCCGCGCCTGGCAGGGCAGGAGCACGCTCTCGCCCACGGCCACGTCCATGTCGGGCGGCGCCACCGTGATCCGCGTGGGCTCTGGGGCGACAGGGTTCGGGGCGGAGCGTCACCACTGCGCTATGGTGGACACGGCTTCCACAGGCAGACCGCTGGTCTAAGTCGGAGCGTGTGTGTTTGGACATGCACACGTATGGGCTGGTCTAGGTCAGAGCGTGTGTGGACACACACGTATGTGCTGTTCTAAGTAGGAACCTGTGTGTGTGGACACACACGTGTGCTGGTCTAAGTCGGGGCCCATCTGCCCCGTGAAGGCTCCCACGGTCTCCCCTCCCCACGGCCCCTCTCCCCGCTCCCTCCGCTCAGCAGCAGCAGCAGCGGCGTCTGCCTCCATGCCCTCCCCTCCTCCTCCGCGCACTCTCTCCACCACCTCCCCAAACCCTCCCAGTTCCCTCCCACCTGCTGGCTGCGCCCTCTCCTGCCCCTTCTTTCCTACACCTGCCCTCGCGCGTGCCTGCAGCTCGGCGGTGTCCCTCACTCGGTCTCCGCTCCTTCTCTCCGCGACTCGCCAGCCCCCTTCTCCACGGGGGCCGGCCCGCTGAGAGCCCCTCCCCCCCGGGGGGCGCCCCGCAGCGCCCCACACGCACGCCCACCTGTGACCACCAGCCGCGTGGAGTCGTTGGCTCTCCCGAACCGGTTTTCCGCGAAGCAGGTGTAGGTCCCCGCGTCTGCCTTGGTCACGTTGGCTATCCTGAGGCCTCCGTCTTTCAAAAGAGAAATTCTAGAGGAAACGCAGATTGGACCGGTGAAGGCACGGCAGCCACATTTCCCCCGAACACGCAGCAAGGTTGTAAGCACAAGCGTTGCCTCAGGCTGGCCCTTTCAAGGCCGGAGGCCAGCTGTCGCCTTCAGGAAATGGAGACAAGGAAACCACGATTCCCCCCCGCGCACCTGCCAGGGCTCCGATTCCCACCGCCCCGCCCCCACGCCCCGCCAGCACCTGCCCCAGCGCCACTGGACGGTGGGCCTGACCCGGCGGAGTCTCCCGTCAAGTAAGTGTGAAACACTCTCCGAAACACACGCTGTGGCGGTTGGGAGAACGCAGAACGCAGATATGAGACGATTTATCTTCAGCTGGAAACCGCGTACGAGAAATAAGAAACCTGCTGGCCTTTCCTTAGGAGCCTGGGAGAGGCGTGCGCGGCCCGAGAAAACCCACTTTCACGGGAGAGCGCTGGCGTGGTCGCCGGGGGCTTCTGCGCAGGAGCCAGGCTCCCGGTCGGGCTCCTGCGGCCCTGGCATCCGAGTCATCGGCCAGGAACCCGCGGGCGCCGGGCGCTGCGAGCCCCCTGCCGGGGGACAGGCCCCGGGCAGCGCAGGGGGACCCTCCCCCTGCAGGTGCCCAGGGGGGCTCCCGCCCCTGAGGCCTGCTCTGGGGACACGGTGGGGGGGGCACACCGGGGGTGGTGGCCGCAGGAGAGCCTCTCAGGATAGGCGTCACTCAGGCTGAGAAGCAAGAACGAGGAAGGGCGCCCGCCCGCCCGCCCGCAGCCCCACCCGAGAATCCCTGTCGCCCCTCGCCGCCCCCTTCACTGCTTCCCCTCTCCTCTGACTCCGGCATCGGCAGGACCCGCAGCAGCGCCTGGGGCTCAGCACTCCTGCTTGTCAAGGGGGCCGACCGTGTGGAGTGCTGAGCATGAGAGGGGGAATCCCGGAGGCCGCTGTCCCCCAGCCTGCGTGCCGGCTTCACGGCGACTGTCCGGCGTGAACTGAGCCGCCAGGTCACGGCTCTGCGCCTCGGGAGCCCAGTGGGGGCGGGCTCACCCTGACGGGACGGCCGGGTGGGAACCAACACGGCCACTTTGGGCTCTGCTCTCTGAGTATGTCTCCTAAGAGACGGACGCTACGATCGGCGGTGGGAGAAGCACCCACAGTGCAGGGGTAACCGGGGCGATCATGGCAGGTGTGCAGGGCAAAGGGAAGTCGGTGGAAGGCACCAGAACCGTGGACACTGGGCGGTAACAGCCCTGAGGTCAGAGGCCGCCGGCTCCGAGGAGAAGGGTGTGGGAACCCTCATCTCTCAGCCGCCCCCTCTGGGCTTTCCTCCCCAAAACTCGGCTACGTCAGCCGCGTGATTTACGGGCTGGAAGATTTCAAGGACAAGGGCAGCAGAGAAGGCCCGGCAGTCGGGGACCCTGCGTGGGTGAGCGCCAGGCCACCGACACACCCCACGGGACAGGCACCGGGGTCCGAGCCGCGGTGTGGCGCGTCTCGCAGCCCACGGACAGTCCTGCACGTCCGTGACCATCAGCAACCAAGGGGCATTGTCACGACTTCCGGGACACCTTTCCGGGGCTCGCCCATCGGGACAAACGCGCCGGGAGCCAGATTTATGGCGACAGAGACGCGGTGGTTTCCTTTCTGAAATGAACCGAGATCCGAAAGGCCCCTTAAAGGACATTTCTTGTTTTAATGGTTTTACAAAACTATGCTCCTGAGCAGTGCGCGAGACCCAGGCAGCAGCCCGTTGGGAACACAGTCAAACCCTCGTGCAACAGACAACCTGCCGAGACTGTGAGTGCCCGGGCTCGCGAGGTGGTGAAAACAAACGTTACTGGGAAACCCGTCTGGACGGCTCACGCACAGCGAACCTCAGAGGGAACGCTGGTTTAGGTCCAAAGGGGCCCCAAACTAGACACTGATGTTCTCTGCCCTGTGATGGGCTCACAAGTCAGACCCTCGAGGGTGGCAGCGCCAGCTTCGTTACCTGCCCTACATCGGGAGCCGGCGCAGACCTGCCGCCCCAGAGCCGGGCATGTGGGGCGCGTGGGGCCAGCCCCCCCGGCTGCATGGACGCCTGGGGCCACTTCCCTCCAGGCGGGAGCCAGACCCTGCCTCTGGGGGGGTGGGGGGGGTCAGAGCCCCGTCACTGCAGGGCTGCCCCCTTCCTGGGCCCACCGCCCCGGGGTGCAGCTCACCTGCGACAGCACGGCCAGGTGCACTGTGCCAGCCGGCACCACGCCCAAACGGGGAACCTCACCAGCTCAGGGACCCGGAAGGAGCGGGTTTGGGCTGCTGACACGGGACATGACCTGGGAGTCAGTTCCACTGCGAGGTCATTAAAAACACGTTCATGGAACATCAGCTAAGAGAAGGGCGGTCTGTCTGTGGTTCAAGGGTTCCGGGTCCCCGCGTGCTCAAAGACGCCCGTGGGTCTCGGGCCACGCACTACCTTTCAGGGGCCACTGCCTTGCGAGGTGCACCCCCCAGCAGGCAGGCGTGCTGGCCCCCCCGCCTGTGGCCAGGAGGACTCGTGCGCCCCTGACCGCTGTGTCCCCCGGCGCCGTGGGTTGTGGAACCAGCTCCTCTGTGAGCGGAAGGCTCTGGGTCTGCACTGAGGGTGCGGACCGTGGGTGCATTTTTTCCCCTGGAGCAGCTGCAGGCATCAATTGTCGGGTGTTTTTAAAATACTGTGAACTTCCCAGTTAAGTAAATTAACACATAATATGAAAACTTAGGTGCCTAACAAAATCTTAAGTCAGAGTTTAAGATGTCTCTTTCCTTAGCATTTGAGTGTCGAAGGCTGGGTAAACACTTTTTTCAGAAACAAAATCGATTCTCATACATTCGAACTCAGTTACAGGGGTTTTCGGGATCACAGGCCCACGAAGGGCCGAAGGCTCTGGTCTTCCCACGGAAACCACTCACCCACGACGGCTGCGTGAAGACAGAACTGCAGAATACGACAGAGAAGACCGGGCAGGGGGAAAGTCCAGCCACACAACAGAGTTTCTGAGGGTGTCAGGCAGCGAGAACCCCCACTCGGTGACGGAGCCTGGGAGCGTGCACAACAGGCCGTGAGCCCCGGACGGCTCCGGCGTCGGACGTGCCGCGGCCGGGCCCCGAGTCCGTCCCTAAGTCTGTCCCTCCATCTGCCCTCTGTCAGTCCCCCCATCCCTCCATCCGCCCCGAGTGCAGCCGAGGGCTGCAGGAGGGGGCGCGCACACCAGAACAGCACTTCTCTGCTGCTGATAGGAAGCCTCAAGTAGAAATCTATAGAAAAATCAATCTCATACGTTTCTGAGGAGCAGCAGCAGTGAATTAAATAAGAAAATGATAGGTGCGTGGGGAGAGGTGCAGGAAAGACTCCTCCACAAATGCCTGCGGGGTTCTTACCGTGCCCTGCGCGTTCTGGGAAACCAGAGGGGTGAGGAGGCGCCCGACCCGGGGAGACCGAAACCCACGGGGACCCGAGTCGCGCAGGCGCATCCGACCGCCCGCTGTGACCGCCGGCGGGGGGCTGTGCACCTGAGCTGCCCCCTCCTTCCCTCCACGGCGCCCTCGGTCCCGCCTCCGAGAAGCCGCCGACCCCCAGCCGCCCCTCGCCGGCCTCAGGGCGCCCTCCTGTCTCTTCAGCCCTCCGTCTACGCCGCAGCCTGTGCCCGCCTGGCCAGACCCTGACGCAGCCGGCGGTCGCCCCTCCACCGACGCCGGTTCCCTTCCCGGTGCAGCCATGATTTTGTCCTGGTCCCCGAGGGCCCCGTGCCTGGACCTGGCCCGTCTCATCCTCAATTCCTGTCACGGCCCTTCTGCACACGGCGTCGGGGACACTGCGGTCCTCAGGCACTTGGGGTCCCCCCTGGCTCCGGAAGTCCGTCCTCTCCCCGCCCAGGCCTGGGCTCCGGCCGCAGCTCCTCCTGGAAGTGGTTCTTCCAGCCCTCGGCCTGGCCTGTGGCTGCCGACCTTCCCTCTCGCTGCCCGAAGTCACGTCCTGCAGGAAGCCGTCCTCCAGACGCCCGACGTGAGTGTCCTCCGGGCCCCTCTGTGCCCCTGGGTGCCTGCCCCCACCGAGTGCGGGGCTGCGCTCCCCACGGTGGCCTCGGCCCATCCCCCGTCGAGTGTTCGCTGTCCTGGGACCCGGGGAGTCTGGCTGCCACGGGGATTCTCCGGGAGCCGAGGGACCCACAGGAAGGGGGGTCTGCACCTGCCCGGCCCGGGGCTCAGCTCCCAGCTCACTGGCTGGAGTCGTCTCCATCCGGGGGAGACCTCAGCCGAGCTTCCTCACCTTCCTCACCGTGTGGGACCCTGACCTGGCCGCACCTGGGAGAGACGCGCCCTTTCCCCTCGGGGCTATGCAGCCCCTTGTCCCTCCCCTCTCACCTGTTTGTTCGCCTGCACCGACAGACCCTTCGAGATGCAGCCCCGAGGTCACTGCCTCCTGAGGTCGCTGCCCCTCCCTCCGCCCCCCACCAGGGCCGGGACGCAGCTTCTCCTTGCTCTCCCCACGGGCCCCGTGTGGACACCCCGACTGCGGACAGCTGGCAATGTCCGGACTCCTGGAGGCCATCGCTAACAGCATCCCCGTTCTCTCCCCAGGTGACCCGGTGCACAGAACTCCGCGGTGACCTGGGTGCAGCTGGCAGCCGGGTGGCCCGCATCCCACGCAGGCTGTGGGGCCCCGGGAGGGCGGTGCTGGATCCCGCTCACGTGCGCGCTGCCGGTGCTGGGGGTGGCCCCCACACTGCAGGAGGACGGGACGAGTGAGTGGACAGCGTGGGCACCTCCCTGCAGACAGGACGCAGGACTCGGATCGCTACCCAGCCAGACCTGGGTCCTGACCCAGGGCCTCACATGCACGACGCACAACCCGCGCTCCTTCTGGAAAGGCCGGCGGTTGGCGGTAAACCGGGAGGGAAGGGGGCGGGAGGCGTGGAGGGCTCGCTGAGCCACGCGCCGGGGGCCTGAGGCTGGCCCGACGCACACCGGTCACCGGGAGGGGCAGCCGGGCACAGGAGGGAGGGGGAGGGGACGCGCAGGGGCGGGCAGACAGGGAGCGGTGACCAGGATGTGTGAGGGACAGCGGGTTCCTCTGAGAGGAGGGAGACAGAGAGGGAGGGGCCAGGAACCGTGAGGCGGCGGCAGTGGCAGCGGGGGGGGCACAGAGGGACACGGCTCCGAAGACGACGGATCCCCCCTCTCCGGCGCAGAGCTCTGGGGAGCGGGGCGGGGGGTGCCGGGCCGTCCCAGCGCCAGCTGCCCTCTCTCCGCCCGGTCTCCGCCGACAGGTGCAAGTTCAGACTCTGCCCCGAGCGAATCTGGCCGAGCAGATGGCCCCACACCTCCCCAACGTCCAAGGGCCCCGCGGGGAGCCCTTCAAGGCGGTGAAGCCGCGCGGGGAATCGGAAGGGGGTGGCGGCGGAACTGCGCGCACGCGGCTGTGCGGGGAGGCCCAGGTGTCTGCGCTGAGTCTCAGTCACCTTCCCTGCTTGCGGCTGCGGCTCTGAGCGTCTTCTTCCCACGTCAGCGGGGCCGCGCCCACCCCGCGGTGGCCGAGGGCGGAACCGTCCCCTCGTCCCAAACCTCACGCCCCGCCCCCCACGGGCCTCCCGCCCGCCCCGCCCAGCGGCGGTGGCTCTTCCCTGTCCCCCAAGCTGCGCCTGGCCCAGGCGTGTCGCAGAAGCAGGGTCCCACGGCCTGTGATGCTCGCTGCCTTGTGGAAGCCGACTTCTAACGATATGCAAAACGATACACGGAGAACTGGTCGCATTTTTCAAACCTGGTCCGCATCGTGGTTACTAGCAGTTGGAGGAAATGCGGGCCATTTATCTCCCCCTTTTAAACGCATTCAGACGTCCGCCGTGTTAAATGCCGCCCAGAACGCAAAACAAGCCGAGGCCCCCGCGAGGAAACACTCCCCGGGACAGGCGACAGCACGCGAGGGACAGCGCCCTCTCCGGAAATAACCGGCTGGTGCGTTTCAGATAGCAGGGGTGGCGCAGAAAAGCTAAACGTTCTGTCCGACGTGCCGATGGGCGGCGCGCTCTCCCTGCGCACGGGGCCCGTTTGCATTCTCTGGGGCCTTTTCCGAGTCGCTCCGCTGGGCGCAGGGAAAGCACCCCCGAGTTCGTTCCAGCCTTGAGGACGGGGGTTCGGGGCCACGCGCAGACGCGCAGGGCCCTGCGTGGCTCAGAGAGCCTGCTCCCCGCTGGGGGGGGGCGCCCCTCTTCCTCCCAGTAACAGAGAAAACACAGAGCAAAGATGACGACGACGATGAACCCCGACACGGCAAAACCAGCTTGCTCCCTGCTGGTGAGCGCCATGTCCCAGCTCAGGCTGCCCGTCCCCCGGGGGCGTCACGCGGACCTGTGACCTGAGAGGACAACGAATCCGTCGCTTGTGAGCTGGGGCCGCCAGACACTGGGACGGGACCTCCCCTGGTCTGTGTTTCGTTCCCGTCCGCTCCGGGGGGAGAGGTGGACCCTCCCCGGGGCCCCGGGTGCGGACTGACAGGCAGCTGCCAAGACGGCTCCGTCATCCACGGCCTGGTGCCTCCCGCCGCCGCCGCCCACCTGCTCGCCGCACCTGCACCCCACCTGCGGCTCCGGCCTCGCCCCGGAGTCCCCGACTCCGTCAGCCTCTAGCGGCACAGAGACGTCCGGCTGGGTCTCCGAGGGGCGTCTCTGACTCAGCCAGCCGCAGCCTGTCCGGGGCCTGGGTGCCTCGTCCTGCTCCCTCCGCCCCGCCCGGCCCCGTCTGCCTGAACAGGTGGGCCCCCCCGCGCACCCCCCCCACCGGGGCCCCAGCCGGACACTGAGGACTCACCCCGCCTTCCTGCTTCAAACCCTCAACCAGACCTGCATGGATGTGCTGCCAGTTCAAGTCCCCCCCCCCCCCCCCCCGTTCCCACCGCCTTCTGTTTACTTCAGGCTGCAGTTTGCCCCTAACTGGGCCCCCACCCCTCCCAGGCCCCCCACCGCCGCCACCTCTGTGGTGCTTTTGAACAGAAGTTGGATCCTCTGGCTTGGCCACGTGGACTTCCGCTGTCGCTGCCGGTGGCTGCGGAACTAGGTCCAGACCCGGCAGTTCGGCAGCCAGGCCTCTCAGCGAGACCCCTCTCCGCCCTCGGCCCCTCCCACGGCCCCTCCCACGGCGCGTCCCCGTGGGGGCAGGAAGCCTCTGTCACTCGGATGCCCAGGCTGCCCTGCCCGGCCGCTTCTCCGGAGCCTCCCTGGGACGCCACCTTCCCTGGACCGCCGGCCCTCTCGGGGAACCACTGAGCACCCCGGGGCAGCCCTGTGTCGCCTCCTCAGACCCTGGGAAGCTGGGCACAGCAGCATGGACCTCTCCGACGGTGCCGGGCCCACCTCGGGCACAGCCGGAGTGCCTTCAAAGGCGTGACGACACTCGTGCGGAGGGGCCGGGGGCGCCACTTGCAGCCGAGTGCTTCATCTGTCCCCGGGGCAGCCTTCGGGAGACGGGCCTGGAGCTAACCCCTGCATCACCGGCTCGCTCCAGAGGCGCTCTCCGCCTGAAAGCAGCCACTCCGGTGTCTTCCACTCGGCTCTGCAGTTTAGGGGTCTCGGCGCCTGAGGTCCCCGTGACAAAGCTGGCACCACACTGCAATAGATGCTCGCGGCCCGGGAAGGCAGTAATTACCCGAACGCACCGTGTGACTGACACGGGGCGCGGGGTAGCGGCCCCCGTGACCCCACAAAAACACTGAGCTCTTGGGTATTCTCTTCTGGCTTGAGCTCTGAAGGACGCTATAGACAGGAAAATCAGACAGACAGACAGATGTGGGGACAGGTGGACGGACAGATGGAGAGGCGCGGACACATGTGTGTGTGTATCCGGACACACCCACATGACCCATTCACACATTGGCCTAATCGCAGTGCATTGGCTGCCAGCAACCCTCACCGGGGGGAGGCTGGAGAAGGCTCTCACACTCATCACGAGTCTCTCACTCACTGAAAACCCAACTTCATCCCCAAAACCGCCACCACCGCCGACGAAGACACCCCACAGCACCCGTGCGTCCCCAGTCTGGCCATCGGCACCCTGCCGGCCACCTGTGCCTTCTCTCCTGTTTTCCAGGGTGTCCCTGAGTTCATGTCCCCCAAACGAGCTTCTTCGGAACAGGCCCCTCCATCGCCCCAGCGGCGTCTCGCCCGCGGCCGGGCGGGGGACCTGTCTGCGCCCAGGGGCTCTGCGTGGGGACGGGTGCAAGGGAGCCGCAGTCCCGGGTTTGGAAGACGGACGACTCTCGTCCGGAGGGGATCGCAGAACAACGCAGCCCCTGCCGTGGAGGTGCCGAGAGGCCTCACGTCTCACCGAGACGCCCTTCCCTCCTGAGCACCACGCACTGCGGCGGGTTCAGGACGAATCAGGGAGACCTGGCTGGAAATGGAGCCGGGAGCCCTGGGGGGACTCTGTGGGGCCCGGCCACTGGGCCCCAGCCGGGAGGGCCGGGCCCACGGCCGGAGGGAGGACACACTTGTCCTCCCAGCAGGACCCTCGCCAGCGGGGGGGCGGCAGGCCGCCCCCAGCCTCCCAGGGGCTGCCTCCACCTGAGCCCTCCCCAGCTCCTGCTCTCGGGGGGCCGAGCCGCCGGTACCCCCCACACCTGGACTCCTGGACAGTGCACCCCGCTCATCCCTGCCTCCCAGGACATCCCGGTGCTGCTCCCCAGCAAACCCGGGCTGCTGGCCGAAAAACCGGAACGACCGGCCTTGGGCTGTTCTCGGGTGACAGGTCTCTCTGGGGGGGTGAGGGGGCTGGGGCAAGTACCTTCCATTGTCCCGCAGGGCCACCTCGCCTCTCTTCCAGGAGGACCGGGCCCGGGGCGAGGCGCGGGGCCGGCAGTCCAGGGCCACCTCGCTGCCCACCTGCGCCTGGGCCAGCTTCCGCATGGGTGCGCTGGAGAAGTCGGGGGCGGCGGCTGTGGGGGAGGAAGAGGAGGGAGAGGAGGAGAGAGGAGGAGGCTGGAGGTCTGGCCCCAAGGGTCTGCGTCCCGCACACCTCGCAGGGGGCTCTGGGCGGCCACCCGTGAAGCTTCTGGGTGACGGACGGACAGACGCCCCCCAGGGCGGGTCTGCCTGACCCGGGCGCCACACACTGCGTTTCCGCAGCCCACCGGTCCCCGGTGCGGGGTTCTCCGCCCACTCCTAACCCTGGGGGGACAATCAGGTCACGTGGAAACCGCAACCGTTTACTGGGAGCTTGAAGTGGCTCTACCCTGAGTCTACAAGAGTTGAACACATTCGTCAGAGGACCAGAGGTGTCTCCCCCGTGTCACCGAGGCGGCTGCCGCGGCTCCAGGCTGGCCCCTCGGCCCCGCGTCGCGCACGGAGGCCGGGTGCCGCCTTCTTCTCTCACATGAATGTCACCGAGATCCGCCACAGAGCGGCCCCGTGAGCCCCCGGGTCTGGGGAGCGCATCACAACGTGCGTCCTCACAGGCAGTCACAGCGTCACCCGGACACCGTCACCTGGATCACCTGGCACAGACACTAAGTTTGTAGGGACGTGTGAGGGACACTGATCTGGGAGCATCTGCACATTCGTCATACGTAGGGAGGGGGCCGCGCTGGAAGGACATCACACTTTACCCAGTAACTGGTCCTCCTCGTGCTGCAAGTGTGGGGGACAGTTAGGGGCCTAGTGCGTTTCCCAGGCCACCCAAAGCTCTGTCTCACGGCCAATCACAGGGAACGCGACTTATTTTTGGTAAGTGGAGACTGCACCACGATTTACACCGTCGACAGGACGGTCCACAGAGAAGGCACCTCCAGAGGTTGTCTGCCTTAAAAATGACGATTCTGAGAGAATCAGTTTTAGTTAAACAAGCCAAAAGGACCTTTATGTTTCAATTAAATAATAAACATATCTGGCATTTTTCCCCAATAAAAGGCCACGCGGTGTGTAGGGTAGGGACGCACTGTGCCTGTAAGGTTAGGTTAACACGAGAGAGCGGCCACACCTGGACCTGAGACTCCCACGTGAACTCCTGTCCCCGGGCTGCACCCCTGCCAGCTGGGGGGCACAGGCCAGCTTCTCAGCAGAGGGTCACCCTCCAGGTGCCGGGGACATACGTCTGTCCTCCAGACACTGGGGCTGAGAGACCCGCTTTTGTTAAGTCAGGATTTTTCAAGGTGAACTTGACCTTTGGGGCTGGGTCGTTTGCCAGGACAGCTGTCCTGCAGGTGTTTCTGTAGGACACTCGGCAGCCTCTCCGGCCTCAGCCAGGACACCGGCCAGCGGCCCTCTCCTCTGCCCACTACGGCAACCAAACACGTGTCCAGTCACTGCCCCCGGGGGCAGCATCGCCCCCAGCTGAGGAAGGCCATTCAGACGCATCATGACCCTCCTTCCTTCCGGCTCCAGGACGTGCAGGCTGGGGCGGGCAGGGGGGCGTGGCCCACTCATGCTCCGTGGGCCAGCGACAGGCAGGCCTGAGGCTTCCATCGGAGCCATTAGGAAGCCACCTCTGTCCCCTGGACCGACCGCGGTGATGCCCGTGCGTGGGGAGCAGCATTCAGCACCGGGGCACGCAGCGACGTGTGGGTCTGGGATCGGGTGCGCTCAGGTCCAGACACTTGTTTTCAACACGTGGGCCCGCACTCCAGCCACTCTCCCTTCCTCCCTCCTTCCCTTCCTTCCCTCCTCCCTCCTTCCCTCCCTTCCTTCCTCCTTCCTTCCTCCTTCCCTTCCTCCCTTCCCTCCTTCCCTCCCTTCCTTCCTCCTTCCTTCCTCCTTCCCTCCTTCCTTCCTCCTTCCTTCCTTCCCTCCTTCCTTCCTCCCTTCCTCTTCCCTCCGTCCCTTCCCTCCTCCCTCCTTCCTTCTTTCCCTCCTTCCTCCCTCCCTCCCTTCCTCCCTCCCTTCCTCCTTCCTTCCTCCTTCCTTCCTCCTTCCTTCCCTCCTTCTTTCCTCCCTGCCCTCCTCCCTCCCTCCCTTCCTTCCTTCCTTCCTTCCTTCCTTCCTTCCTTCCTCCCTCCCTCCCCCGACTCCCACTTGTGTCACGCTGCACTTCACTCTCAGTTGCAGCCAGGTTTTCAGTCCTTCCCAGCGCAAAGCGTTTTTCTGGCCAATCCCCCCCGGGGCCCGAAGTGCAGGAAGAAGGGCAGCGCCGACTTCCCGCTGCTGAGCCGTCGCTACGAAACGCTGCGTCGCACCCGGCTGGCCGCTGCCAGCAGCCTCACGGGAGAAAAGGCAGCTGCGGTCAGACCAGTGAGAGACTCGCTGGAACCAGGGGCGTCCCCCGGCAGCCCAGCCGCAGAGAACGCCAAGGTCACACGCTCCCTGGAAGGGGACACTTCGAGTGACAGGGGCGTGGGGACAGGAGGGGCTGCCGTCCGAGCTGGGCTCCCCAGCCGCGGCCTCCTGCGGCCGTGACCCTGCCCTCCTTAGGAGTCACTGGGGTGCACGCTTGGTCGGGAGCCCCGACAAACTCTGCAGGAACCTCGTTAGGTGCAGGGACGCGGAAGTAGACATTTCTGCTGCCAGCAAAACAGGGGATCTAAGGAAAAACAGGAGGACCAGAGGAGCCGCGTCTTACCCACGACCTTGAGCTCGGCGCTGGAGTAGATGAGCCCGTGCTTGTTCTCCGCTATGCACTGGAACATTCCAGAATCCGCCACGGTGAGGTTCGCTATGGTGAGGGCGCCGTTTTCTATCTGAATCCTCTCCTAGATGGGAACGAGAGGGTCTCGCACGCGGAACCCACGGACGCCGACGCCATCTCCGCAGGAGAGCCGCCGCCACCGACTAGCGTGGGGTCGCACGGGGCCCGGGACTTGAGCTTTCCCGCACGTGGCAATGGGAGGGGGAGTGGTTTTCACACGACAGCCGCACTCCGGAAGCACTAACCAACACCCTTTGGGCCAACAGTGTGTCACTGAGACACGTCACCGGGGCAGGGGCAAAACGTGGCCGTGGTTCACGCTCCCCCGAGGCTGACCCCGGGGACGCAGGGAGCCACGGCTTCCGTCTCGGCGTCTCGGCAACCAGAACGGTTTTCACCGTTTTTAACATCGACCGAAGACGTCAGGAACCCTGAGCGTTGGGAACGGTGCTGGGAAGCCCCCGCGCGTGAGGGGCCTGGGGCGGTGTGGAGCATCACGTGTGGAAACGTGGAGGGAGACTGGCCGCTCTGCACACGGGTGAGAGCGAGCAGAGACCACGGGCCCATGAGAAGGAAGAGACGGGAAAACACACCCTCGGGGGACCAGGCGTGGGGGCGGGACTCGCGATTCCCTCCGGGCGCCGGGCCACACGGGAGAAAGGGTGCTATGTTCTATACTCGACTAAGGGATCCCTTTTCTTTTCTTTTCTTTTTTTTAAGATTTTATTCATTTATTTTTAGAGAGGGAAGGGAGGGAGAAAGAGAGAGAGAGAGAAACATCCATGTGTGGTTGCTGGGGGCCGTGGCCTGCAACCCAGGCATGTGTCCTGACTGGGAATTGAACCTGCGACATTTTGGTTCGCAGCCCGCGCTCAATCCACGGAGCTACACCAGCCAGGGCTGGGATCCCATCTCTAGTTTCAAACCCAAACAGGGGCCTGCCCTTCCACAGGCCGAGTGCACAAAGACCACCCTTTCCCAGGGGAACGCAAGGTCGGGACCCCCCGCCCCAGGGACCGGGTTCATCCCCACACAAGGCTCTGGGCGCGTCCCCCCCAACACGGGGCGGAGGGTGGGCTCCCCGGGCCGGGCCTCACCTCCAGCACCAGGGCCTCCCCGTTCTTGAGCCAGCGGTAGGAGGGCCTGGGCTTCCCGCTGGCCCGGCACTCCCAGCGCAGGGCATCCTGCACGGCAGCCTCCGCATCCTGGATGAGCTGCACCCAGTGGGGCTTCGCTGCAACGAGAAGGTGCTTCAGACCCTCGGCCGAGGAGCAGCAGACGCTCCCCCCACGGGCACTGGGATGGACACTGGGACGGACACCGGGATGGACACAGGCCGGCGGGCACAGGGCCGACTCGGGCCTGGGGCCCGGGCTGATGCCTCCTCCCCACGCCTCCCCGAGTGGGTTCTCAGGTGTTTCCAGATGTGAGGACGGAGGCGGCCACTGTCCCCTCCTCGGCCGGCCGAACTCCCCCTGCTTTGTCTGCGGTCACTCTGCTGCCCCCGCGGCAGGCAGCCTGCGGTGCCGGGTCGCAGGTGTCCGACTCGGGCACGCAGAACAGAATTCCGTTTCCAAGCGTCGTCTAAACCACGAGATCTCGACGGACGGCAACCCCCTCCTCGAAGGACAGCAGGCGCTGGTCCGAACTATGGACCAGAAAGAACCGCACGTCCATGGAGGGGGGGCTGCCACAGCCCAGGAAACAGTGTTTCCTTCTGGGTAGAAATAACTCTTCATCAAGCGCAGACCAGTGAGCCTCTGCACTAATTAAAATGAGCGCAGGGGAGACGGACGCGTCGGCTGGCTCCCGGTCACAGGAGGTTTGGTGAAAAAGGAGCCGCCCACACACCTTCAATTATGTATGCAAATCAGCCGCGGCGAGTGGGCTCATCGCTTTCACTCAGAAGACACTGTTTGGAAAATCCTCTCCACCGAGGAAAGCTTGCTCCGCCTCCGGGGAAAGGCACTCCGCGCACAGTGTGCTCAGCGCAGGCTGGCTCGGCGTCGCCCGCACCGGGAGGCAGGCGTCGCACTGGTCACGCGAGGGACGTGGGCAGAGTGGGGTGGGGGGGTCCTGTCTGCACCCCCCCCCCTCGAGTGCAGCAGCGGTTTATCCAGTTCTCCTTAATTGCATCCATGGGAAAACCCGCCTTTCCATTTCTATCTCCCAAAATTGCTTTCTTGAGAGATGAGATCGAAATGAAAACATGGCTATTCAGCTTTCAGAGAAATTGGACCCAAGTTCTGCCTTATTTCATTTTTCTTCTTTTCATATATAAACCGCTTGCCCACTCTGAAGGACGGTGGGGTCCCAAATCACTTCTGGCTGTTAAAGCACATTTTCTTCTCCCAGAGATCCCCGGCCCCAGTGGACGGAGCCCCCAACGGACCCTCTGTCTGTAGGAGCCTCTGTCTGTAGGACCCTGTGTCTGTAGGACCCCGTGTCTGTAGGGCCCTGTGTCTGTAGGACCCTGTGTCTGTAGGACCCTCTGCCTGTAGGACCCTCCGTCTGTAGGACCCTCTGCCTGTAGGACCCTCTGTCTGTAGGACCCCGTGTCTGTAGGACCCTCTGCCTGTAGGACCCTCTGTCTGTAGGACCCTGTGTCTGTAGGACCCTCCGTCTGTAGGGCCCCGTGTCTGTAGAACCCCGTGTCTGTAGGACCCTGTGTCTGTAGGACCCTCTGTCCGTAGGACCCCGTGTCTGTAGGACCCTCCGTCCGTAGGACCCCGTGTCTGTAGGACCCTCGTGTCCGTAGGGACCCCGTGTCTGGGACCCTCCGTCTGTAGGACCCCGTGTCTGTAGGACCCTCTGTCTGTAGGGACCCTCGTGTCTGTAGGACCCCGTGTCTGTAGGACCCTGCTGGGACCCTCTGTCTGTAGGACCCCGTGTCTGTAGGACCCCCTGTGTCTGTAGGACCCTCTGTCTGTAGGACCCCGTGTCTGTAGGACCCCGTGTCTGTAGGGCCCTGTGTCTGTAGGGCCCTGTGTCTGTAGGACCCTCTGTCTGTAGGACCCCGTGTCTGTAGGACCCCGTGTCTGTAGGACCCCGTGTCTGTAGGACCCTGTGTCTGTAGGAGGGCTCCTGCTGGCGGCCCCGCTGTCCTCCTCCCCAGAGGGACGGGGGCATTTGCCCGACGAGCCGGCCCAGAGTGGCGGCTGCCCCACTCACTGCGATGCCCCCTCATTCCAGATGAGACCCACATGTCCTCTCGGACCACTTTGTACGTGAAATATGACGCAGAGACGCAGGTCACTGCGGCCGCTTTCACGAAGCTGCGTCTCGCTGATTTCCGAGGCACCGGCCTCACACCACAGACGCCGGGCGTGCCGACCTCGGGGCTGCCTGCCGCACCTCCCCCCCTTCACTCCTGCAACAGCCCCGGCTCCTCCCGCGTGAGGCCGTCCCCTCCTCCACCTGCTCCCAGGGCCCCTCCCGCCCGGGAGTCCCGACCGCACTCCCTGTCCCGGACAGGGTATCTCACGCTGCCTCGGGCCTGTCCCCGTGGCGGTGACGGGTGCAGCGGTCGGCACGGGGCCATCAGGACGGGGGAGAGGGAATGTGAGGCGTCTCGGAGGAGGGAGGGGAGGACAGGGACGGGTGTGCTGGCCACCGCCGCAGGCAGCCCCGTTGTGCCCGTCGTGAAACCCACATTCGCAGGGAAAGGGAAAAGACAGACAAAAACCGAAGCGAAAGTGGCAGAGAAGCCGAGCCGGCGCCGAGTCTGAGGGAGGCGAACGCCCGCTCAGCCTGGGTTCCTGGTCCTGCCGGGTGCGCCACTGACTCGGGGCGGCTGGGCCGCGCAGCTGAAGACACCCTCCCTGTCAAACAGGGAGACGGGCGGGGGGGGCGGGGGCTGCCCTGCGGGCCCCCAGGGTCAGCCCTCTGCACCGGGCCGGCTGCGGCAGCTCGGAAGGAAGAGCTAACCTGAAGTAGAAGGAGGACTCACTGCTTTGGGGGGGGGGTGCTGGGGGGGCTGGGGAGGAGGAGCCACACGGGGAGGTGCCCCCGGCCCGTGTCCGTATCACCCACTAGCACGCAGGGCGGCGGGGGTCACACGCAGCCTCCGTGTTGTTCCCGACGGTGGTCCGGACGTCGTCCGGGACACAACAGTGTCCGTCATGGAGCCGAGGCAGCGCACACGGCCCGTTCCCCCCAGGGGCCACCACAGACCGCATCGCTGCCACCGTGTCCGTGAACGTCCTCTCCCTGCAGGGCCGTGAGCGACACGCTCAGGCTGCCCGTCCCCCCCCCCCCCGCCAGCCCGTTCCAGCCTCTGAGACGCACAGAGCGCGGTGCGGTGTTCCCCCATCAAGCGGCCAGTCCCGAGAGGTTCACCGTGTTCCCGACGGTTGTGCCACCAACATGGATTCTCCAGCTCCTGCGCCCGCGTTTGCACGGCACGCTTCATAAAATCGCCCACTCACACTTTCTAAGATGCACTTTCATCAAAAACCGGGGGGTATTTTAATAAAAGGTATTAGCAAACACATTTTGAATAAAAATGCAATGTAATTTTCCTGCAAATGAACTCGAAACGGAGGTAACATTATTATCCTTTCCCAAACGGAGCAGCACATCCAATAAATGTGATCACGAATCGTGGGCGGCAGCGGGCGCGGGCGCGCTGGGGGACGGGCAGGGGCCACCGAGCAGCAGGGACCCGGGCCAGCCGGGCTCCTGCCCGCGCCAGCTCCCTCCTGCTGAGCACAGATAACACACGGATAAACCCACGCTTTCCACAAAAGGCGTCTGCCTTGATGTGGTTAAAGGCCTGAAAGGTTGTTCTCGGAAGAAAAAGTGAAACACTTCGTGACCCCGCGAATCATTTCAAAATGCAAAACCAAGGGTGCCTGCAGATGCAGAATTCCACTGCTTGCCCGCCCCACGGAGGGTTTGCACCCCAATGATGCACAGACCGAGGTGGACACCAGGTCCCGCTGGGCTTGGCGAAGGGCCACCCCTCGGGCCCACGGGGACACCCACCGTAGTACGTGAGGCGCCCTCTGGCCACGTTCCGCCCCCGGGCGTTCTCGGCGACGCACTCGTAGGAGCCCGCGTCCTCCTGCTGGAAGCTGGGGATCTCCAGCACGCCGTTGAACTTCTGGGGCTTCACTTTGCCGGGGAGAGGCTGCCCGTCGCTTCTTCTCCACGTGATCTGGGGCACGGGGCTGCGGGGAGAGGCGCCACGTTGTTCGCCGTTGTAAAGAGCCTAGCCGCGTTTTTGGCTCGGCGAAGTAAAGCCCGGGTTTGGGCTGAAAAAAAGGCCCAACCCCGGCTGGCGTGGCTCAGTGGATTGAGCACCGGCCTGCAAACCAAAGGCTCGTGGGTTCGATTCCCAGTCAGGCCACACGCCTGGGTTGCGGACCAGGTCCCCAGTAGGGGGCGTGCATGAGGGGCAACCACACATGGATGTGTCTCTCCACTTTTTCCCTCCCCTTCCCTCTTAAAATAAAGTCCCGGTTTTTGTCAATCCTGCATCACACAAACCTGGCGCCAGGGTGGACCTGGTTGTGTTGACAGTTTAGTAACATAAATGCTGTGTTTTCTTATTTCTGATCTAGTGTAAAAGGTCTAACGTACCCACTGTTCTGTCCCGTGAACAAGAAGAAGAAAGACAACACCAATTCAGTGTACAAAACTAGGCAGGCAGAGCCATCGAAAGTTTTAAATTAAATTATGTATGTGCATTTCGCCTGTGCATTTTAGTTTTCCTTTGCTTCTAAGTGGAAAAAAAGTAGCAAACGCAGAAAGAAGCAGCAGCGTGCGTCAGAAGCAGCCTCCGTCTCCCGGGCAGCCCGCGCGCCCCCCCCGCCCCGGGCCTGGGGGGGCGGGGCGGGGGGGCGGGCGCGGAAACTCACTTGCCCAGGGCGAAGCACTCCAGCCTCACGGTCGAGCCCTTGGCGGACGGGAGGGTTTCCGGAAACTGCACTTCGATTTTCGGTTCGTACTCACCCATCACGCCTGTAAACCCACAAAGCAGACAGTTCCACCGTGTCCCCAGGAGTTTCCCCCTTTCCCTTACCTGTGCCTTCCTCTCGCTGCCATCTGAGCTAGCCTCTCCTGGTGATTTAAATCCCTCTCTTCCCGCCTGCTGGGCACGTGGAGAGGCCGCGCTGGCTCCAGCCAAAGTGCGACCTTAATACCCGCCCTCGAATCCTGAGACTCGTAAGTCACCACGTACAGTGCAGCCCGAGAAAATCGGCCAGCCTCTCACGTCTCAGAAGACGGGGGGCGGGGGGGGGGGCTCTGGCGTTCTGCGCACCACGGGGCCGTCTGCAGCCCCACTGGGGCACGGCGGGGGTTGGGACTCCCCGTAACGCCCTGGGCAGCCAGCGTGGCGGTGGGCGTTTCCCGAACAGCACCCTGGGGGCGCGGGCACGGGGTCAGACTCAGAGGCCGGCTCCCTGCGGCCTCGCGGAACCCGGGGAAGGTCCGGTGCGACTGTCGCCGACCGGGAGGCGTGCTCAGGGCGCGGGGAGGCTCACGGGGTCCCCGAGACAGTAGCGGCTGGGGGTGGGGGCACCCTTTCCCGGCTGCACTGAGGGGTGATGGGCAAACGCCGCCTGCGTTCAGGTCACCCCATGCAGCCATCCCGTACCCGTGCATGCTGGGAAATGACTCCCTCAGGCAGGTGGGCGCACGGAGCCCCCCACAGAGACATTAGTTCATTTCCTAAATTTTTTAAACTTTATTTTAGAGAGCGGGGAAGCGGGGAGAAAGAGAGGGAGTGAAACATCGGTGTGAGAGAGAGAGACGCACCGATGGGCTGCTTCCTGCAGGCGCCCCCCAACTGGGGGTCGAACCGGCCACCTCTCGGTTCGTGGACGACACCCCACCCGTGCAGCCACACCGGCTGGGCCACTTTTAATTAACTTCTAAATGTTTTTGTGAAGAGAGCCCTTCAGATCTGCGCCCGGAGCCGGTTCCCAGGGCACCATGCGGTGTGGTTAGTGAACCTCCACCGCCCCGCGGCTGGCGGCGGAGAAAATGCAGATGCACTCCTCACAGGGCGCGGACTCTCAGTCACCAGACGCGTGAGTTCTGGGGACCTAACGTTCCCATCTCCCCTTTATCTTCTTATGGAGATGACCCGCAGCCCGTGGCGAAGGTCAGGACAGCTGACTTCTCGGGCGACCAGTGGGCCGGGCCTGCTCACCGGGCCCTGGGCGTGGGCTGGGGGGTCAGGGTCTGGGACGCTCAGTGACGTCGGGGCGACGCGCCCCACTGTGCGCTCTGCACTGGCCCCTGCGAGTGACCAGGCTGTGCCCACGTGGGGACCATGACATTCTGCTCTGAGACAAACGGAAGGATCCCGCTCCAAGACCGGCCTCCCCTCTCCCCCGCCCAAGGCCTGTGCCCGCCCCCACGATGCCCCCCCCACCCCGTGGGGCTGCCCTACCGTCTGCGCGCAGCGTCAGCGGCGTGGGGGCGCCCAGCACCCGGCCGGCGGCCACCGTGCTGGTCGCCACGCAGGTGTAGTTGCCCACGTCGGACGGCTCCACCTTGGCGATGTACAGGTGGCCCGTCTCCTGGGAGACGAACCTGCGGCCGTCCTCCTGCACGAAGGCCGGGTAGGCGTTGAAGACCCAGGCGTAGGAGAGCTCTGAGGAAGTGTGAGGAGAGAAGGGAACCGGCTCCGTTAGTGAGGACAGCTGCCCGCGGAAGGTGAGAACCTGACGTCCCCACCGCACTGAGGGGCGAGGCTGAGCGTCTGTCTCCGCGGCGGGTCGCAGAGAGGGCCCGAGACGGGGACGGCCTGTGTCCCTTCCGCGTGGCCACCCTGTGGACAGCTCCCCCGTGGGAGGGGCCTGTCGCCGTTGTCCTAATCGCACCTGCGCCCCCAGATCACAGTGTCTCCGGCTCACGCCCTGACCTCATCTCCCACTGGGCTGCACGCCCGTGACCTCCTTCCCCGCCCGGTTCCTGACCCGGAGCGCCCCACATTCTGCTGTGGCCTTGGGAACGCGGCAACCGCGTGGGTCCCAGGAACCTCCCAGGTGGACGGGGGTCTCGGGTCTCGGGCGTGACGCAGCCCAGCTCACAGCCACCCCCCCCCCCCCCGGGGAGGAGCCCCCACACCAAAGGGGTCATGTGGGGTGGTGCTCACTTCCTCCATCTACCCTTCTGCCCCCCCACACACCCCTGTTTTGCTGCAGAAACACCCAGGGGGTGTGCAAAGCTCAGTGCCGACCCGAGGAGCCGCCTGCTGAGGGACGTCTGCCTTCCCTCGGCCACCGGGCAACACAGCGTCTTCCTCCACTGCCCTGCGACCATCATCACCTCCTGGCTGGCCCGCCCCGCCCCACCCAGCAACTCCCCCCCCCCCCAACGCCTTTCTTCTCCCGCCCACCCCACTCCAGGCCAGTGAGCAGCAGGAGTCCCGGACCACTGAGCTGCCCTCAGTCGATATGCAGGGAGCTCATCAAAAGTGAGTTGATGCCAACTGCCTACCTCCTAAAGGAGGTCTGAGCGTTTTCTTCACTTTCGGGTCCGAGGGACCAGCTCTCTCCCGCGAGGGTGAGGGCTGCCCGCACCCCTCCCGCCCAGAACCACGTCGGGGATTCACTCAGCGCAGGGACGGTGCGCACTGGCACGGGGCACCGCCCCGTGGGAAGGGCTAGAAAACTGCGCAAGTCACTGCGCTCTGGGCAGAGGAAGACGCGCCCCCTGCGGTCCCACCAGACTGGCGCCAACCTGCACGCGTGCAGCACGCGTTCAGCACGCGTTAACTGCGCACCGCAGAACACGACATGCATCACGTCAGCGTCCTTTGGAGGTTTTTCAGCATGATTGTACGTAGGATGATAATGTCACGTCCATAACAATGACGATTTTATGTGCTCACTCAAACTAGGCTTTACAGAACCCTCGCCACTGCCCGCATCGATCGTAACCACGTGGTGCCCGCACAGCCGCCTGGCCACCGGGCTTTCCTTGAACGACGCGGCTCGGACGTTAGGGTCGGGGAGCGTGTTTTGCAAGAGGACAAAGAGGGTTAGCAAGCAAAGCCGTAAGTCCGCACCATGGATTCCCGAAGCCCTGCGTCTGGAAGGCGGAGCGCTCGGAACACCCTCCTCCAGGCAGCCCCTCCTTCCCGGGCACACGCAGCAGCGGGCCGGCCCGCGCGCAGGGATACACGTCACCGCTGTTGCCCTGGAGACGCGCGGACGCGCACACTGCGGCGGGGACGGCGGCCGTCGGGAACCCCATCACGAGGGAGGTTCAGTCTCTGCATCCGCATTTCCTAGAAGAATTTCTAGAGGAAGGGACTGCTGCTGGACACCATCGTGCGGGACAATTTGGCCATTTGCTGCCCCCCCCCGCCCCCCGGGAAGAGCGACCCAGTTCAGAGGAGGACGAGGACGGATTTGAAAGGGTCTGACGCCCCCTCGGGGGCCTGCGGGCAGCGGCGTTGCTGCGAAGCGCGGAGAGGGCACCGCGCTCGGGGGCCGGGGGGCGGCGCGCGTGGGGAGGCAGGGCGCGTGGGAGGACCTGAACCCACGGAGCAAACTGAAGCTGCTTTACGTTGTGAACAGCCGAGGACCAGCGGCGAGGGCTTTGAGGTCGGCACCTGTGCACACGCCCGACACACCCGCCCCACACACCCGCCCGCGTGTCGTGTGTCGGAAGCTGCTCTCCAGGTGGGTGTGGGGGCGAGGTCTGCACACACAGCGGGTTTCCTGGCGCAGCCTCGACGCCTGCGCCTCGTCCACCGTGAGGCCAGCATGGAGGGTCCTGAGGTCGGAATGGGGAAGGGACACGTCCTCCCTCTGTCCACACTCGAGCCAGTTCTGGGTCCTGGGCTGCTCGGGTGGCGAACTGACCGTGCGAACACGCCTGCTGCTGTGTGCCCCGAGCAGATGCGACACAGACCACGGGGCCCCGAGGCCCCCAAGACCAGTGTCTCCAGCCTTGTCAGGGGAACTGTGTGAACCCACCGGGGGTCAGCGACTCCCAGGACACACATGGCCCGGGGACGAGCCGGCCACAGAAGGTGAAGTCGGCCGGACCGCACCCCCTGGTCTCACCCACCCCCGTCTGAAGATCCCTTCGGATCGCGCTGGTCACATCCTGTGAGAGTCTCTGAATTTTACAAAAACCTACTGATCCAATAGGAATTTTTGGTTCTCCACCTGAGTCTGTGCCCTCTCTTCTGTGAGGTCCAGAACGCTTGGAGATGCGTTTGGAAAAAAAAAAACTCGAGAAGCAGACACCCATCTGGAGGTGTCAGCAGTGAGCCACGCGGAAGCCACGGAGGAAAGGGGCCCGTCGGGAGCCCTGCTGCCACCCTGCCACTGCCACTGCCACTGTCACAGTCACAGACCGTCAGCCCCGGGCCTCCCCAGCGGCAGGACCGCCCGCCGTGCCCGCCCCCTGAGAGCCCGGCAACAGCTGTGGCACTTGGAGGGCGGATCTGCACACCCGGCGACGCTGCAGTGCGGTGTCTGTGTTTTCTGCACAGTCTGTGGACCATGGTTAACGCCAGCTCTGAGCTCCGGGCCAAGAAGGGCTCCCTGGTGCCTGGGATTCCCAAGTGAGAACACACACGCCGCGCCCCAGTCCTACCACAGGCCCAGGAGTGCGTGTGTACAAGGAGGGGAGCGAGGAAAACCTCAGCAGGGACACGCGTGCGACCTTGCACTCTTCCTGGGTGACAGGCGTGGGCCTGGTTTCTGTGAGGCCAGCTCCGTTCTCCCGGAGGCGTCCATCCGACGACGACGGCCCCTCCCCGGCGGTCCACCTGCTGCAGGAGGCGGCATTCCGTGCGCTCTCCACGCTCAGCCCCGGCCCCCGGGTGACGGTGTTGCTTCAGCCCGTCCTCTGACGGCGCACAGCACAGCAAAGACCCGGCCGGCCCTCGCTGCCGCCGAGTCGGGGCCCTGGACGAGTGCTCACGGTTGCAGAGAGAGCCGGTGCTCACGGAAGCTGCCGGTTGTCACCGGCTGGCTCCGCCTCCCAGGGGGCCGTCATCCCCTGGCTGGGCCAGAACCCTGAGCGCGTTGTCATCGCTGTCCCCTCACACGGATGCAGGGCCTCACTCCGCATTGGGCCGTCTTTGTCCGAGTGTCGGGACCCGTGCGAGCGTCCCCGTCCTGGTGGCTGAGTCTGAGGGGTGGGGCTTCACAGCCGAGCAGAGCCTGGGGCACGTGACTCGGAGGAGCCCCTCACGGAGGCCGAGAGGGGCTGAGGGGCGGAGACCGCCCACGGTCTGCTGCTCGGCGAGTCCTCGGCCCAGGACGGTCGTCCTCCAAACACCAGGCTTGTTCGTCCGCAAGGCTTTACGGCTGGGCTTTGAAAAACGTTTTTACTTGTTGATTAGGAAGGAACACAGAAAGGGAGAAAGTTGGGGGAGAGAGAGAAACGTCTGTCTGCTGTTCCACTGATCGATGCATTCACTGGTTGATTCCTGTAGGCACCCTGATTGGGAATCGAACCTACCCCCCTGGTGCATCAGGGCAGCACTCTTAACCACTGAGCAACCCAGCCGGCACCTGCGGCTACATCGAAACCGCAGTGGGGGTGCCGTGCATCACAGCGTGATCTTGGCCAGCATGCAGCCGGTCCTCACGACATCGGTGGGGGTGGGGAGTGAGGGCCCTCCTTCCACATGATGAATTTTCTACCGAACAGCAGAAAGCGGCGGCCTTACTGACCCCGGGAGACTTCGAGACAACGCTTACTGCATCCTCTGGGGACACTGAGCATCCCCCAAGAATTAATGCACCGGTCCCAGGAGAGTGTCCAGAAAGTCAGCACATCGCACGGACGCTGGCGGTCTTCCTGTACACCCACCCCACTCTTCAGAAAAACAGAGGTAATCACTGGCAAGATGAGTGTGGCCATTTATGCAGAAAACGACGTGCAATTTACAGAAGGACGTTGCGATCTCAACGCTGAAGAGCATGCCGTGTTTGTGAGTGTGACATCTTAATGCCGTAGTTATCGATTCCCCAAAATAATGCACGAATCTCACATCACTCCGGTCCGGATCTTACCCTCTTTTAATGTGACGACTCTGATGCGCTTTTGGAGAAATACATTCATTTGAAAGATGATCCTTTTCTCCTTTTTTTGTCAAAACAAGTGGCGTGAACTGGGAACTTGACATAGGGGCTGCTCAGACATTATGGAATGAAAATGGGTTTAGCATTTAAAATATAATGAGCTGCAGGAACAAATGCCTCCCTCCTCCATGGGCCCCCTTCTCCGCCCAGACAGCCCCCTCCCGCCGCAAATCCATAACCTCGCCCGAGGAGCAGCAGCAGCGCCGTGCACCGTCAGGCTCGAGCCCAGGGAAAATAAATCGCTGGCACGGAGCAGTTCCGGCACTCCGCGTGGCCGGTGATTATTTTGCTTCTGCCAGAGGAGGAAAGCAATAAAGGAGAGACGTATGGGAGAGTTTCCGCACCGAGCGTGTACGTATTCATTCTCCCCAGGCCTGAAATGACAACTCCACTTGTGTGTTACGCCAGATCCCGTGCAGGAGGAAACAGAAGAGAAGCAGCAGTTCCGTTCGACGCCGCGGTCCCCGGGGCCGGGGATGCACCTGGAGGTCGAGCCAGGCGGAGACTGCGTTGTAGGGTTAACCTGGAGTCTGTGGCA